GGTTTCTAGGACTTAACTGGGCTATACGGAATCCATGCTAGTCCATCCCGGAATTAACACAATGAGTCATAACTTTTGCTAGATTACACTTGAAAAATGAAAGCCAAAAATGATTTGGTTAGTATAGGGGGTGATCGGTGATCAACGACTAAGTAATCCACCGTAGTTTCTTTAAGAAGTGTCGTAGTCATCTAGCTTCATTTTGGTGAACTCATCAGAAAGTACTATCATCATGATTCAAACAGTTAAAATTTCTTCTCGCATTTAAGTAGCAGATCGCTTATATGTTATCCTAAACGCGTGTCTTTTTAGTTTTAGTTTACCACTGAAAAATAAGCGGTATTTTGGATTGAACGGAATAAGGGGGAGCTGAAGAGCGAAAGTTTATTCAGTTAGGCCAAAGTATATGCCTCCGTACAGCATACAAAACACACTTGGGTGACTCTTATTGAATTATATCGAAAAAAATTCTTTGATCAATTTAAACGTTTCCAATTTAAAAAAGTCATATAAAAGTATAAAATTACTCAAAAGTTGCAGGTTGTGTTATTCAGCCTACGATTTCTATAGCAAACAATAACATGTTGAAGGAACCAAAAAAGACAATAGTGTTTAATAAATCCTTTTGGATAGCTATTCAGATTATTCTTTGCGCCACTGTCATATACGTGTTGAGTCATGGGGGCTATGCTCAATTTCTTCAGATGAGGTGTTAAGCGAATTCGGAAACACCTTCCAATAAAGCGGTCATAAAGAAATTGATTTGGAGTGGAACCGAAAAGGCGTATATCTTTTAATAGCTAATGAATATCAATGGAAGAGACTGCTCGAACACCACATAGTCATTGTAGTTGATAGAACACACTGAAAGCACCTCTACAGTGTTTTATTGGACAGTATTGTCATTCATTTGTCCCTTTTACCCGTCTTGAATTCTGACCTTTATTCAGGTTTCCTTTAACCACACTTTATGTTCCTCAACCTTCCATGTCTGGGCTTTAATTTTTTGACAACGTTTAGAGGTTGGGCTCTTATTAATTGGTTTTATTGTTGCTTGTTGCTGGATCATTGACAGTCATGCCGTGCCCAAGGTTAAATCGCGGCTCAGCCGATGGTTGTTTGCGTTTGACCGCATACTTCGAAAGGTTACTGAAAAACTTGCGAACATACCTGATTCCATCTTGTTGAGACTATTTTGATTGATTCTCAGGTATCGAACTCTTACTTACCAACATTCTCTTTTCCTGTTTAGAATGTTAATTTATGCTAGAAAAAGTATAATATTTGAAAATAATTTGAATTATCGTATGAACTAGGAATCCCAGAATTAACGCAATTGAATCAAGAACTACGACACAAGCACAAACGAATGTATTGTATTTGAAATTCGAAATCGAGCATTCAACAAGTACAATTGGATCACTAGTTAATTCAAAGACCACAAAACGTTTTGAGTGTATAATATGGGCTGCACCGTTCGAGGAATTGTGTATATTTTTGATCTGTCTGGTCCACCACATGACTTTCTTAAATTGGAACCGTTTAAATTGATCATAGAGTTTATTGTTCGACATAATTCAATAAGAGCCACCCAAGTATGTTTCGTATGCCATACAGATGGCGATGAAAATGTTTTTTAAATATGGCTTTAACAAGTATTAATCTCCTCCAACGCACTGCCAGCAGTGAGCGCGTATTACGGAAGCGTCGCACTTATGTGGACGGAAAGTGTATGGAAGTCGTATAGACGCAGACTAAGATAGTGTTAGCACGCGATTGTGGTCAAATTAATAAGCTTACGGAAAATTAACATGTATTTATGTCTTAAATGTGTGGGTGATAAAGTAGTCTGTTATTATAAGCGTCTCGAAATACTGCGCAAAAGTGACTAATCGTTTGAGAGTATGACAGGTGAATAAATCGTGGAAATAAGTAAGGTAGAATACAGCGAAAACTGATCTGTCGTGCGGAAGGAATAGCGAAGTATGAACATATTCTGATAAGCGTCAGTAAAGTACATGGAGTGGATTAGTATTTAATGGTTGAGCATTTACATGACATGGAGTTTCCGTTTGCAGGATAAGAATAACCCAGCTGGAAAACAATAACTGAGTTGATGGATGATACTGATTGTTGTTCTGCTGCTGATAATGACCGAAGGATGGAGAGTCACTATACGTTGTCGTTAGTATCATAACTAGATGCATTGATTTGTTGTTGAATCTGCATTAGTAGAGTGACGAAAAGAACAGACTAGTAACGGTGGAGACGAGATACTCGGAATCGTATTCAGTTTTGGTCGTGAGTCTGAAAGTGGTTTATGTCGTTGGAGAGAGTTGCGTTAGACCCTATTTGTTGAGAAACCGTACTAAGGCATGTTGAAAATATTATTAAATATGATTTTTTATGATAGACGAGTGAAGATATCGAAATGAAAAATGTGTATGTGAAATGATAACACAAAAATGACATCAGAATAATAAAATGAGACTAAATGACAAGAAAAAATGGAACCAATTCACCTAAACCTGGAATAATAAAACAATCCAATGAGCTGCAAATGTCGTAACGTAAATGCAGTGTTCATAATATAATAATTCGATGAGTAAGTGATATTATTGCGAAAACATACCAATTTATAGTCGATACGACCAGAAATAATAATCTATGTCGAGTGATAATAGGACACCAACGTGATAACGAGAATGATAATTATTACAGTCATAATGGAATGACCTGCTAGACGGAGTCGACTCAAGTACAAATTATTAGCAAGATGACATGATTAGAGCATGTCCATATCTCTGATTAACTGGCTTCTCAGATGACGTCGGAGTGAAGGTTGAGATGTTTGACAAGTTCTTTGACTAAGTCAACTTCTAAGTTCATTCACTCGGTGCATAGAGTTCGGATTGTTCGTCGTCTATGTAGTTTTGCAGGTTGTATTTAGTTCGGAGTTGAACTTACCTTTTCTTGATGCTTGGCATCTGGCCACAGTTAGATGGTATGAAGATGCTAGGAACATAAATCTTCTTAGGACACCACAAGTATTCGGAGTCTGACAACGCTATTACAATTTACATCATTATGATTTGAGCATACCAACCCAGTGAAGTCAGTAGCGAGAGGGTTAGAAGATATTTTCGGAAAGCTGGCAATATGGAGAGGAGCTCGCTTACAGTTGCAAGGGATGAGTAGCACACGTACTCCTCGTAAACTGATGTTGACGAGTGACCGGGCGCCTTTAGTTAGGTGTGTCCAGTAAAATTAATGTGTTCAGCAGCAATGTCAAAGACTTGCAGAACGATTTATTTTGAGGATTTAGTTACCACTAGACTTCTGTCTAACTCCGTATATTACCCAGGCTAACCCCTTTTGTGTGACGGTAGTAATAAGAAGCCAAATGCAGGTTGCGTTAAAAAGATTTATTTCGCGCATTTGTTTGTCAAAACAGACGCTCGAAATAAGAGGCTGAAAAGCGAGGCAAAGTGAAAAACGCGAGCAAGTCAATTCAATTTGATCAACCGTAGTTCAATATTTATGGTCAGACAAAAAGAGCAACATACACAATGAATATGGTAATACACACATACACACTCATACAAAACGGCAAAGTTTAATAAGCAAATAGTTGGCAGGGCCAAAGTATGAACTAAGAAGTATGAATGAGCTGGTTTGTCCGAAAGTTAAGATAACCCATGTGGGCTTGACTTAGTAAATGACACTACACAATCAATCCCAAAGCACATTCCTGTAGAACAAATCGAAGGTAATCCCGATATGATATTTCAGTTTTTGATTTGTGGTAAATGTTACAGTATTCTAGGTACAACTGAAACTATAAGGAATAATCAACTTGAACAAGATCCATTTTAGTCCTCATGGCTCAGCTTCTAGGAGGTCACAGATCCTGATGCAACTGGCTTGGAGTTTAACTGAACGAAAAAAGTTGCTTACTAACTCAGATAAATTTTTTCCCAAATGTTAAGTGGTTTATCAGTGAATGCTATGGTTATTATTATTATGATCAATAGGCTATTCAACTCACTTCCCTTTCGTCGTCTCCGTTTGTTCGCAGGTATATTTATTTATTTTATGAGTTGACTTATGTTTTACTTTTTGCTGTCTACTTTCCAATACTCATAATTCTAGTTTTACGGTTTCATACTATTTGTCAGGCTGGTAACGTTATAACCTTTATATCTAGTAACTGAAATGCCTCATAACAAACGGATTCGCTTAAAATTAAAATATATATACTCTCAAATAGCTATCGAATAATGTAGGACTCTTGCGGCTAAGTGGCTAGATTCGTTACAGTTGTTGTTTATTGGAGTGACCTTGACACAGCTCAAAAAGTTGAGTAATTTTGGAAAACTGGTAACGTTCGACTGGTCTTAGGCTTCACTGAGGTGCAGTAAAATTAAGTGGACGGCACATATTTCAGATAGTGAGATATTAGTGCTAATTGGGATGTTGATCTGCAAAATTTTGTTCACGTGGCTAGCATGCGTGTCAAACATGTTCAGTTACAGACTGTTTTAGCCTAGTATTCTGTTTATTATTGTAGTTTAGAAATAACCTTAGAGAGATAGAATACAGAGAAATGACAGACTGCTGCCTGCTTCATTCCCATGGGTTCGTCCTTGAGCTTGATGATCTTTGGGTAATAGTTCAGCACCTATCTATCGGTCTTCCAACGTACAAACGGTTTAGGCTGATGAATATTTCGACAAGGGTCAGTGGTATTTCAGTGACTCTACTTCACTCTGTTTGATTCTTTGGAGAGTAATAAACATATTTAAGATTGTATTCATGAGTAACAGTGAAATTTTCCGTTTTTTTGCACAGACTGGCTTCATTCTCGAAAAATTCTAGATAGCAGCTTTCAAACCCTTCAAATATCACAATGCTCATAGATGGAAAACCTCGGTGAAACTGGCCGTGGTAGGTTCCCCTGTAGTTCGTATTTTCAAAGTTTTATCCGTAGATTTGTTCTCATGGAGTTTAAAAAAGCCAAAGTTGTCGTAGGAGGCGATTCCGGTAAGTAGATTAATTAATCATTTTTTAAACCAGTACATACAATTTGTAATAATTTTTTTCTAAAAAGGTGTTGGTAAAACAGCTTTGGTACATTTGATATGCAATGGACAAACTCTTCTTCATCCTTCGTATACAATTGGTTGTAGTGTGGATATAAAAGTTGTCGAATTTTCAGTTAATTGTTTTATCACTTACACTGCTTTTGTTAAATTAGATTCATGTATACAATAGTGATCCTGAAAAGGAACATCCATATTTCATTGAATTATGGGACATTGGCGGATCAAACAGTCATGAGAATACTCGTTCGATCTTCTATCAAAATTTACACGGACTAATATTAGTCTACGATTGTACAAATAAGAAATCACAATTGAATTTAAGAAAATGGTTATCTGATGTATTGGGGAAACCAGTTTTAAAAAGGTAAGCCTTACAAATTGTTTACCCACCTATTCGTGAATTATAAAGGTTTACATATATATATTTACAAAGTGGTTAACTGGCAAAAAGGTTCTCTATTCAAACTATATTCTGATTTTCTGTGATTATTTATTTATTTAAACACAAACATTGATACAAGGAGGCACCAGATAGATATGCGCCACATAGATCATTCGATTTGTGTGAGGGCTGGGATACTGTCCGGGTGCTCAGACCGAAGCAGGTGGTTTTCTTAGGGGGCCACACCCCGAGCCTTAGACCTAAAGGCCTAACCCACAAGGCAGTGGAGCATCGTGAGGAGATGCAGTCCCATGGTAGCCGGTGACCAACGATTGGTTCATACGCCATTTGTTCCTTTAGGATACTGGAGCCCATGTGCACCATTGGTTTGAAATCAGGGTTTTCCAACCCCCTTAGGTGGACTTTCCATGTCCACCAAACCCGTTAAAGCGTCAGACATTCACTTTTCCCCCTCTAAATGTCGTAAACAACACTCCCACCACGGCTACTAGGTAAGGATAACAAATCAACTGATGAAGTAGTGAAACTTCGTCAGTTGAGATGGCTGGAACACGTGTTACGTGTGCCCAGCAACTGACTGCTCCGAAGTGCGATGTTTTATGGTGTAAGAGTAGGTTGGAAGAAAGGTAGAGGCTCACAGACCAAAACATAACACAAGTCCATGAAGTCACTGACAAGTGCACTGAGTTATGTTGGTAGGTGTAGACTACTTAGCAACCGATGGTTAGAGACCCTGAATGAAATGGCTCAAAATCGTTTGCAATGGCGCAAGTGCATCCACTCTTTGTGCTCTCCCACATTCTAATCTTCTGAATTCTTCATGTTCCTTATTTTCTTTCCAGATTTATTTCACTGTATTATACTCCTTGAATAACATCTTTAAGCCTTAATGTTTCTGATTGCTGCTTATACTCTTACTACCTCTACCACTACGGAATTTGAGTCGATAACTGCATCTCTGTGCTAATGTGGTGTGGCAACTCGAACGTACGTACGAAGTTCTACGTTGTTACTGACTGACCCCCGCCATCAGAAGGCAATGAGTAGGACGTCCCTGGCAGTGGTTATATGCACGTGGCCATGTGAGTGCATTTCGAGAGGGAGAGCGGACTCTCCCCACTTTCGGCCGTACCAAGGCATTTGGGGGCTTTCTGTGATTACAATAGATGCATAGCTTTTTCGGTATGAACAGCTTAGTACGTGAACATCCAAGTGTTTGTTAGGTAGCTTAACTGATGAGAACTATCTAGCCTGTATTCCTAGTCACTATTAACCTCTAAAATTGTATAATGAAATGAAGTGAACCTAATATAATCCGTTGGATAACGACTCAAAATTGTATACATAAATTTCTCTCGACAAACTAGTCTGTTTTAAAGTCTCCATTTATTCATTCGATAGTACTCATACTAATCTAACGTTTGTAATATCCTTTACTAGTTATAATTTCTGTTGTATGAACCTGATTTCTTCTAATATAGACAGGAGATAGATATTGGAGGAGTAACAGTGGCTGCAGATGGTATCACTGCTCCTATTACTACTACTAGTAGTTATTGTGGCGGTGTAAGTAGTGAAAAATATGGTAATCTAAAAGCAAATATAACAAATCAAATGACCACCCTTCTGCCTATCTTGAATACAGAAACTTTGGTCAGTCGATCTTTCACATCGTCATCGGAATCACAAACAAGTAACAATAATCAGCATAATATAAACTATATAACTAACACGGTCTATCCACCTATTCTTGTTATTGGTACAAAATTCGATTTACTCAGTTCACATAGTCGACGGTCTGTGAATAAATTCACATCACGTTTTAATCTATGTACGTCACCATATATCCAAAATGAATTACCATCAGCTGGTAATTATCATCCATGTGTTCCAATGACGCCCAGATCATGTATATCGTCTGTGCAGTTTTTTGGAAATACTACACCATCATCAACAACGTCATCGTCAACATCATGGAACTTAACATATCGTAATAATTATGCGAATAGCAGTGTTGGTGATGATCGCGAACCAACAAGTTCAATGCCACAATCCTTGTCATCACCAACGCAACAAAGTGTATATATTGATTTAAGTGATAGTCAAAAACTTTCATCGTCATTGTTGACTTCACCAACAAACGACAAAACATGGAATTTCGCCACAGAACATGGATTTTCAGAAATTCTACTAGTAAGTTTATATATATATATATATATATATATATCCAACATCTGGGTGTTGAAATTTAAGGAAGTGTATGACTTAAAAATTTTAAATGCTTAGGTTATTTTAGATAAAGTATTTGTAGGTAATAACTTGTGGTCAAGTAATCAAGGTAATGCTTGTAAACACTTGGCTTTTATTGTTTGTGTGTGTGACGACCACTTACACAACATCTGTCCTATAAATATATGACCTAAGGTCATATAAATTGGGTTACAAAAATTTTAGCTTAGTTTGCGTATGTGTGGTGGACCGTGTGCACGGCCGCTAAAATGGTAAGAGTGAGACTCTAACCTACAAGTTGTTGACTGTTTGTCCCAGCCATCTTGATATAAGCAGGCTAGTTAATTCGGATCTGCGAGGTAACCGTGATCCGTGGTCAAATACTTTACGTCATATGATTCATAATTGTTCGCAGTGGTGCAGTCGCATTCAATCTTAATCTTCCTCTCAATCTTCAATTCCAGTATTCCTTCATTCAAATCTTTTCACTCTGTTGTTTCAAACAATGTCATCAATGCTTACTCCTTTTTAACATAACTGGTATGTTATTTCAATTTCCTTGCTACCGATCCTATTAATATTGTCTCTTCGTGCTCATGTAGTTAGTAACTTGAACCGAGCACATCTATGCCACGCTTCACGTTGTTAGTGATAAACGAACTAAAGGGTTAGAGCCTACATTCTACAGCAGCTACACTACATTGACGTGGGAACTCAAACACCTAGAGGGAAAAAAGTACCAATGCAAAAAACTAATATGAAAAATATTTGTTTGAATATTTTTTATTCTCATCTCAAATTCTATCCTCATACTAATTGTCCACTTGGATTTTTTCTGTGTTTGGTGTCGACATTTTCACATGGTTGGTTCTCATAACTTACATAATTATGAGACAGTCAAGATCAGAAACTTTTCAAACATACTAGTGTGATGGGAGACAATGAGAAGCCAGTGTGGGATTGAATTTGTCCTACAGATATTCTGCTAGAACTGTAAACGCGATAATGGCGACCCGAGAGTATATGTGAAAGTTATAGTCAGAACAAGGACAACTTGACTTTAAATCTTATCTGTTCCTAGACGTAAAAATAAAAATTTGATTAGTACAATAATTAGAGGAATTACAGTTATTAAGTGGGACGCATGAACGTACCGATCAGTATTGTGTGTGATCGAAATGAATTAAAATCATGAGTCACACTAATATAACAGGATAAAAACGTCCTTCAATTGGCAGGTTATATGTAACAGGAATAATCTACTGACACATCAGATCAGATCGACGTGGTGGACGTTTAAGTAATTATTTGGTTGGTTAGTTATGGACATAACTAACATCCAGAAATGTTAGAAATTACCAAATTAAGTGAATTATCCTACCTGTTGTGTATAGAATATTCATCTGTATGCCATAACCTTTCGCTTGTGATATAGTGTGATATGTGGTATCACCAGTCTACATTGAACAAGTGCGAGACAAGGACACGGCTTAGGCTTGTTATTTTATAAGACTTGGTGAAATGGATCTTAGACTAATCCTTAACTAACGATTGTTAATGCGTAAGAATAACTAAAGGATATAAAAGTAAAACTGACCCCTGAACTACTTTTTCCTCTTCTTGTTCGTAAAATACTGCATATATACCAGGACCTACGAACCTCAGACACTCACAATATCGGTTTTAGTTAGCTACTGGTTGCACATGTGTAACTGAATTGTTAGTAATGGACCGCTGGACGTTGACCTATTTATATACAAGATAAGTTCAATAATCTAGTTTACTCGATAGTATCAGTTATTGTTTTAGCTCCTTTCTGCAGCTGAAAAGTGTATCACCAAATACATGTGGCAAATAAGGCTTCCAAGTATTTATAGTATTTTATTAAAGTACTGTTTTTCATCAGAAAGATTCTGCTTTTCTATTGTCTATTCTGTTCAATTCACTTGTAGCCCTTATTTTCACTTTTATATTTTAAAGAATTGTAATTCAGTCACTAGTATAAGTCCCGGAAGTCCACAAGACCTTCTATTGAGTCGATTTTTTGATGAGGTGAGTTCACAGTTTTCTAGATTGATTCATTGACATATAAATTATTTTGTGATTGTTATTACGATCATAATTTTTTTAACTTTATGTTAAAACACCGTACTAATTACTTCGAGAATATTCAACAATTGACAACTATCAGTCAATAGCAGGCATCATAGGACTGTGCACAGGTGTCCACAGACTGAAGTTAATAAATATAATTTTGGAGCGATCTATTTACATACTTGTGAGCTCAACTTTAAGCTATACACTTTTGGGTGTGTGCCTGTATGTGAATGAGGACTAGTCATGCAAAACAAATATCCGAATAGAAGTTTACTTAAATGGTTATTTTATACAAATCCAGGAATATTTATATGGTAATCAAATGAACTTGAAGTTGGACGAAAAATCCCTGGAAAGATACTGAGACAAATAATAGTGTAATTATTTGACTAGTTGTTTTAGTGACGAACACAGATAAATCAACCGTTAGTTGCCCAAACACGTTAATAATCAACCTCAAGATAATTAGTGTGTCAAGTGTTTGGTTTTGCAAGAGAACTTGTTATCATATAGGGTAGTTACAACCTGAACTGCACAGCTCAGTCCTATGATGCGACCACATGGGTACGAAGAATCCTAGTGAATGAGAAAGTATTTCTTATTTCTACTTATCTTATGAATAGTTATAGATTTTTCATGTGTTTATGTCTAAAAGTTTGGAACTGTAGGATATCTTATTGGTTATCAGTGATTCGTGTTACGATACTTATGATTCGTAAGTCGCTCAGCCATACGCAGCGTAGAACTTGGGACATGTGTACATAGGTTCAAGTTTTCACATTTGATTAATACGCAGAAATAAGATTGTCAGAGCGAATCTCAAACTAGGAGAATTAATAACAGTATTAGTAATAATCAAAAAACATCAAGCATCGAACATATGGCTCGAGAATAAAGTATGAATTAATCAAATAAAAAGTGTGTATAAGAATTTCGAAATATCAAGATCTAAGGGAAGATAAAAATTCAATCCATCTGTACCATATTGAATGATTCTAACGTGTCTAACCGGATACGTGGTAATAGATAAGGAAAATTCTCTTGCTATTTTTAAAACAATTTAGTTTATGTTAGAGTTCTACTTGACTTGAACATTCCTACATTATGCTTGTCAAGATAGATTTAGTTTTCTATTATGTAATAGTAAAATACATCATACAACAATTTTTTGAAAACTTATTAATCCTCTTTTTAAATGTGTTCATACAACTTGAACAACACGATTTACAATCCTACCATACAACATCCCTACCTTATTCAGTGTATTGGTCGCCTTTTCATGGAGACGTTCTATTTTGCACGGATTTCACACTCAATCTATTAGTCTTAAACATAACCTTATTTTGTTTTATGTCTACCTTTTTTATATACTGGTTCAATAATTTTAATGGGCTCTCCGTGTCCACCAACCCGGCTAGAGCGCTGGACATTCGCTTTTTGTCCTATCAATTTCGTAAACAACACCCGCGTCATGAGAAGGTAGTGAGTAGGACTTCCCTGGCATCGGCTGTATAAGCACGATCATGTGAAAGCATTTCGAGAGGGGTAGCGGACTCTCTCCATTCTCGGCTGTACGAAAGCATTTTTGGGCTGTAACTTAATAGATGAAGGCTATTGTCTAAATAGTAGTTTTAATCGTACTGATATAAATACTATCAATGGTATCAAAGTATAATCATATAAAAAAACTGAAGAACGACAACTCCATTTCCAACCGCCATGGTCTGAGGTTATCCTCAATGTTTTTAAGCTTTCATCAAGTATATTGTACCTAGTGATTTTGCGTCAGTTTTTCATTTGTTTAGTGGTTGATTATTGTAATATATCAGAGTATAATTTTCATCAAACATTTTATTTCAAACAACGAAAGTTATTTGCGACTATCTGTTTGAAAAATGTCCAATGTAGTACAGCCTACTTGCTAGATAAATAGCACAATTATAGTAAATATTAAAACTTGAAATCCAATGTACGACTGTGAATCACTCATTGAAAATTGAAGAATTTTTCGATCTAACCTCAATTATGGAGAGCAGTTAAACAAAATCACATTAATATAGTAATAAGTAAAGAATTTAGCATGTTCAGTCATTGTTCTTGTTGTTATCTATTTCGTTAATTTAGGTAATCAATTACAAAGTGTTTTCCATGTCAATGAATTGTAATTTATCACCTGATCTATCCCGAGTTAAACGGCGTCCAGTGGATTCACGCAACAATATGTATAAATACAATTGAATTGTGTATATTTATGCATACAAACTCCGTATATTGATAATATGTGAGTGATGGTGGTATTGTTGGACCACCACATTGTTATCGTTGTTCTTATTTCCTGTCCTACTGATACTGTTACTACTTCCACTAATTACTCTTAAATTTTTCTTGATAATCCCATGTCGTATCGATTTAATGTGGCAACTCAAACCAATATATATACCAGGTGTTACGATGTCTATAACTGACTAACTTTTAAGCCTCATGAACGTTTTTGAATTACTGTATCCCACTGTAATTTTGGAGTGATACATAAAGTTTGTTTGATGTCTTTGCAATTTAAGCCCATATTTAGTGCAGTTAACTCTGTATTACTATTATGTTGTTGTGAAGTATAACCTTTTGAGGTATACTATATCGGGATTTCTCACGCATAATAGAACAAATGAGTGAGCATTTTCTGTGTTACACATAGGCCGTTATGTAAGGATAGTAAACCGATCGATAATCTTTTGGATTTTCACCAGTCAATCTAGTTGTGACCTATGTTTGGATAAAACTGGGGTGTGATCAAACAAAGTCGTAGCATCAGTTGATGAAGTCGTTTGGTGAGTACTAGAAGACGTACACTTCTTGGTTTAAGGCTCATCCTATAAATTTAATTTATGGCTACATGGTTTTAGACGATATAACCCATAGACCTTGAGTTAAACACGTTGTTATCGGTTCACTTGTACTATGTTATCAGTCAGTCAGTAACAACGTAGACCTTCGTACGTACGTACATCAGTTCGAGTTGCCATAGCACATTAGCACAGAGATGCAGTTATCGACTCAAATTCCGTAGTGGTAGAGGTAGTAAGAGTATAAGCAGCAATCAGAAACATTAAGGCTTGAAGATGTTATTCAAGGAGTATAATACAGTGAAATAAATCTGGAAAGAAAATAAGGGACATGAAGAATTCAGAAGATTAGAATGTGGGAGAGCACAAAGAGTGGATGCACTTGCGCCATTGCAAACGATTTTGAGTCATGTCATTCAAGGTCTTTAACCATCGTTTGCTATCATCTCGCGGTCCACAACTAAGTAGTCTACACCTACCAACATGACTCAGTGCACTTGTCAGTGACTTCATGGACTTGTGCCATGTTTTGGTCTGGCCGCCTCTACCTTTCTTCTAACCTACTCCTACACCATAAAACATAGCACCTCATCGTTATCATAATTATTCGTATTAAAAGATTGTACATTGAACTTCATTTATGCTCGTTTTTATTTTTCTATAGACAATTTTGACATTGATCACTTTTGTTTTTTTCTCGTTCTCATTCTAGTTTTTCACAGGAAACTTCCTTCTAATCTGCTTATTTCATCAAGCAGTTATTGGTTGTTAAAATGATTTATGATATTTTATATACAAAATCATAATCATTCACCAACATTCCTTTTCTGTTTGTTCGGTTATTATTATTATTTTTTCTATTGCTCATTTTAATTGCCTATTTAGTCATCCATTGATGTTTTCAATTATGGGATCTTCTGTTCTAGTTAGTTTTGTTTTGAATTTGTAAAGGATTTATTTTTCCTCTTTTTTTTACATACATACTACTATTAATACTACTGTTCAGACATTGAAAACAAAGATAATAACAACTAAGGTTATTTTTATTGCGAATAATTTATTTTTCTTGTCAAAAGTTTTACACATTTGTACTTGCATTAACTCAAATTTTGTTTCCATAGGACATATTGGCAACAAAAAATAAACGAACACATGCACATGAGAATTTTTAAAGATATTTTTTGATTTCATTTTGATTAATGTTGTTCTGTGTCTTCGAATCTAACTTGTCAGCATAGTGCACGCTGTATCTAATTCCTTTAATCAGTGTGACCACAGTACCCGACCATTGTTGCTACCTTGACGTGGTGGTCGGGCTTGCCTATCGTGATGAAGCAACCGAGCTATACTGGCCGGAACAACCGTTCCTCAAGGTCCTACCATGTCAGACAGGTCGGTTGAAGAGCGGTAAGACTAAAAGCACCATACCTAAGGTCTTAAGGCAAAGTCGTACTGCTGACTGTACAGAGGTGTGACGGCAGTAAGGTGTTTCCTTAAGACAACCAGCATGACAGCGATGCTGCCTTCCCACAAAGAGGGATGGGGTTAGAAAAGGTCGACCCTAAAAATGCACACCGCCTTATCCCACGGATTTCCGTCTCCAGCGGTAAGATCTCAACAAGTACGGAATTAACCCAAAGATTACTCAAAAACAGGTCATGTGTGACCGACCTCAAGCAGATGTTTCTTGGGCATTGCTGTCACACTCTCAGGTCACTAAGACCACCTCTAATCCGATTTCCTTTTCAGGCACCTCCAGAAGAACCCTCCCACGATGTGGGCAACCGGAAAGTGATAACAGCCCTCATACCTCTAACAGCACCCAAGACCACTGTAAGACCACACTACAACCTCATCGATTTATACTAGAAAAAGCTAGACAAACATAACTTTATCATATACGAGAAATCAATGATGATTTGAATGGCTGATTAGTAAAGTTTCGTGATATGCTCTCTAATCTCACAAAGAGAATATTAGATCCTCAGAATTACAGGTAAGATTTACTAAAATTCTAACAGGGTTTCCTGCCAAATATGTCAACCCATCTAACAGAAATTGATTGTGTTAAACTGTAAGGTGATAGCTTAAGCAAATAAACCTACAGTCATTCAGTCTGAATCAAACTTTTTACATACACGGATGTGGGCTCCTGGTTGGTGATACTGTTTAGGTCTTCGTACTCAGTGTGTAGTGGTAGTGATATTTCTTGTTAGACGTAATTTATGTGTGTAAGATCAAAAACCTGCTTGTCATCTAGATTATTTATTGAATTAAAATGAGATGATAGGTAACTACTAAACCAAAGTGATCATCGGTAGACAGGTAGGGACAAATTTTGAAATTAACAATTCACTACAAAGAAAAGAACAGAATAACGACAGTGCAGTATTGAATAATTTGGTTCTGATTAGTGTTTCCAATAACCGGGGTATGGCTTCATCTTAGTCTTGCACATCAAAGGCAAGGGACAGCAAATCATGACAGAACTTCAATTTGTAGAATGAATTCACTAGTCTGTTTGTTTAGTGTTTCGGAAAGTAACTAATTGCGAACAAATAGGAGGGACGGCTTCCCTATATCGACAGTGGACTCTTCCGGTTCTTTTATGATGGTGAGTCTCGAACTAGAACAACAATCTAGTGGCTTTGTTGCAAGTAAGGCATCATGTGTCGCGGGTAATGGTGGGGTTTCATTGGAATTGAGGACTGATCTAAGATGGACAATTATTGAAACACGCAAGCAATTGACGGTCGTCTCATTTTATTACGGAACTCTTCAGCAGTGCGCATCATCCACAAGCTCGCAGCCAGGAACCGAAAACAATGAGGGTTGGTCGTACAATGTTACGGATTGGTTAAAGCTAGACTATCCTGGCTAGTTAGTTCGGAGGTTGTGACTATGCTTGAGAACAAAGGTCCTGAGCTCGTGTGGTGTGTTCTGCAGAGAAGTTTCATACTGGAATGAGACGACTGTCCAATGCCACAGGGTTTTCAATGTTTTCCTAATTTGGATAGGTTCATCTTCCCATTCGTTTGGGTGCTTTTCAAGATTTGTTCAATTTTCATGATATTTATCCATCAGATATAAGGCCACTGAAAAATAAAGAGCTCGGATTAGTAGTTATATCCTAATTCGAAGCTAACTGTTCAAAAGGCCCATATATGAATGAATTAAGGAATTTTTTAGGTCTCGAGTTAAGCATGACAAATTTAGACCAGTGAATTGAAACCCTGATTGTCCAACTTTCTAATTATTCAGTTGGCAATATAATACACCAGTTAATCATTCAATATAATAACCAACTAATGAAGTCTGTTTTTCTGTTAGAGAAATTAAAGGCTTAATAAAAAAAAAAGATCAATTATATATTTGATGAGACGTCAGATCAATTGAATTATGGTTGGTTAGTTGTTTAATTGAAGTTAATTCAATTGACCTTGAACTCATTTAATGAATAGGTATACATATTTGTATAGTATAGAAGTAATTAATTATTTTATTTATGAAAAGAAACTGAAATGAACTAAAGTTGAACATTGCTTTCGTAATAATGGTTATTTTTAAACGTTCTTGGCGAAGTATGAAAGGACGAATGTGAAGGAAATAGTAGTAGTATTCTATGGTTGGGAATGACCCTGTCTTCCTAAAATGTTAGTCCAATGGTGATGAAATAATTGAAAGAATTGATTTCGGATTGAAGGTCATAATAAGAATGACGTATTCAGATGCCAGGATGATCTCATTGTATCAAATGAATCGCTCATTGGCATGGTTGTAAATTTCTGACTAATACTATCTCTAATTATATGAAATAATTTACATGTACGTGCCAAAGCATATACATTGGACGAACAGAATGAAGAGTTAGTGTTTGCATATATGAGAAACATTTCACAGAAGCTTAGACTAAAAGGACAGGACGTTTACAGAGGTACTACTACTGACTGTGGTCACGATGTGGACAAATTAGTCTTTCAAAATAATTAATCAACCAAGAACATCCAACTTACTACATTTTACTGAAGTATTACAAAAAGATCTAAAAAGAATTTACGCAATCTAAAGCATTCAGTTATTGATGTATGGGCGAGAACGATAATGATTGATTGTCTACTTAGTCAAACATGTAGATAGTCTGACAGGTGTTAGACAAGTTATCTATTCCCCTATCCATATAATTATTATCATTGATTGTTCATTGTTGTTGGGTTGTGTCGGGTTTTGGTGTGGAGATATATTTACATTTTAGTCAGGCTAATCACATGTTCTTGATCTGAGTTGTGTTGAAGTCCTGTAGAATGGACACTGGGAGGGAATCTAGTGTAGATATTCGTCTAAGGTAAATTAACGTCCCATGTGTGTAAACAAAGTAAAACCAACCGTTATAACAGTTATCAATCATGCCTTACCATGGTGACCTCGTTCAAAAATGTTTGATGTGCAATTGTTTTATTTCTGTGACACTAATTATTGATTCTCATTTCTTATCTGATTTCTAGTCAGTCAATTTTATTTTATCTTCTAAGGCATACATTAATATTTCATTTCTAAATAATTCTGTCTCTATGCTTATAGATTTCATTTCACAATATTCGTATATTCAATCTCATAAGTACTCACTTTATTTAACAAATGAATGCGTGGAGGCGCACTGCTGAGGAGTCCCACAGTAGGACGAAACGGCCGTCCAGTACTTCCAGGTTTTCCATGATGGTTTAGCTTCAACTGACTCATGATCTTAACCATTGAAATGAATATCTCTTGTTTTTTTTCAATACTATTAATCTCATTACGTTATTCTTGATTGATGGGAACTTTTCCTATATAAAGTATGTACACTGATTAATCCACGAAATCGGTAGTTTACAATCGTACTAAGAAAACTTGTTCCTAGCTTTTGAGATAGTGGAGAAGATTTGTAGCTCAGGTGGATGATTTTGATGGAGTTTTGTACTTTGACCTGGATAGTCTGGTCGTGGAGCTTTCATCGATCCTGTGAACGAAATCATCAGCACAAACTTCAGATAAAAGTTGATGATGTCGTTCAGAAAAATGATGAGAGCTCCACGACCAAACCATCCAGTTCAGAGAACAAAATCGATATTGTGTAATGAACAGAGGAAAATACCCAGTAACAATCAGATTGTTTGATGTGTTTCGTTTCTATATATTTCACAGCTGAAAATTATTTTTGATTAATGATTGAGAAGTCAAGTGAAAACCACTTTTTTCTTGAGATGGTTAAATTAATGTTTACTTTAATGGAGTGATTCTTTTTTAAACCAGTTGATCAAGTAATGAAAAGATACTAAATAAAAGTTTTTGAACCAAGAATAAGTGAAATGTAGCTTAAGTTACAATACACTTGGTGTTGTTTTACTTGTATCTTCCGGAGTGTACATCAACTCTGCGATGCAGGTACATCCAACTGATGAGTTCCAAATAGGACTAAATGCACATCCTGGATACCACTGCTAACTACTATCCATATTTGCTTAAGTAACAATAGTTAGTTTCTTTAAGTTATTCAGTCATGCTCAACCTATGAGTAAGCAGACACTCACTTCTATTTAAGTTACCAAATCACATCAGCAAGATGAGATCTAACTATCAAAAGCAACTTCATAGTAGTTTAAGTAGCAATACTATCAGTGGTTGTAGGGAGGCTTAGGTATAGAACAGATGAACGCGGAAGAATATGTATAAGATCATTTTAAAACTGGAAGCCTAATAGAAGACATTGAGGGAATGCATATTTGCCATTGCGATTATTAATAAGTCAGGTCACCAAAGTCTCTAACCTTTGGATACAGTAATTTCGCGAACAATAATAAAGTATTTGATTGAGGTCATAAACCGATTGATGTTTAATCATCATTGAAAGCCTGGAAGCACTGAACGGCCGTTCCATCCTATCAAGGGACTCCTCAGCAGTGCGCATCCACAGCCTCGCTCGTGGGACTCGAACCCAGGGTTTCCGGTCTCGCGCACAGACGTTTAATCTACTGGACCACTGAGCCAGCATCCAACGGTGTTAATTTCTAACCTCAACCAATCCACGAGATTGCGCGACCATCTTCCATTTTACTGAGGTAGATACCTGTCTCTACCCGACATAGATCACCTCCGCTGGTCACGGCTTCTCACTAGAACTCCGAGAATTCCCTCACGAAGCTAGTCACCAGTGAGCATATGATAATTTTGAGGATAGGGGTTGTGGAGACTAATAAGTTTGATAGGTTCGAATCCCGTAAGCGGGATCATGCATGCACAGTGCTGAGGAGTCCAACAATAAAACAAAACGGCTGTCCAGTGCTTCCAGGTTCTCTAACTACCCATTGAGTAAATTAAATCAAATGTTCGAAATAACCAGATAGTTATATAAATATATCTCATACTAAAGCATCTTTAACAATAAACACATACATATACCACCATAATACAGAGTAGTAAATTGTTTATCTAAACAATATTTGATTTTCTTTTTCAGTACAAAATAATCATATATGGTATATATTTCATTTTATTATAAGCAAACATTATTTCTTCAAAATGAAAATCAATGACAAGAGTAATTGAAAAGCAACATGACTACTACTACTACTACTACTATTACTACTACTAATACTATCACTACTACTATTGCATCAAAATTGATTCTTAAATAAGCAAATTATTAATATTAATAAGTAGCATATTAGTAGTATATGTATAATACTTTTCAATAAGCACATAAGCTTGACAGCATAAAAAGTCATAGAAAGAATGATAATTATGAATAATATTCAATTCATAGTAATAATAACTATCATATTGTTATTATTACCACAATTATTTCAATCAACTTATATCAATCATAAAAAATAAATTTGATTAGTCAAATTTTTCTTTTTGTCGAAAATGTTACAGAAATCAAAAAATGTTCATTTATGAGTATATAAGTAGTAACATTATAACAAATAATGAAACATTCATTTCTGTTCACAACAACAATAGCCACAGCAACAATAACAATAAAGGTAAAAACAAATGGCAACACAATTTAAACAGTAAACAATCTACTCATCAATAGTCGGTATGGATAATAGATAACCTGAGGGGGGTGTAAAAACAAAAAGAAAAGAAAAGAAAATATTTGATACTTATCAACGAAATAACAGAAAACAAATTTTTTTCTGCATTTTCATTCCGTTTTGTTTTTGAAATAAGATTAATTTTGTTTCTATGTGTGTATGTATTTATGTGTGAGTGTATATATATATATATATATATATATATATATATATATATATATATATACGAAATGGGTTGTTATAGATGAAAGTGTGTTTAAGGGATATTTATTGATTTATTATAAATATGAGAAAGTATATAATCATGACATTAACATTGAATTGAATTTCTATGAATTTGTTTGATTATATAAACATATTCTAGCTACACACATTGTTATCCAATCTGGTGGTGCAACTGATTTCAATAATGATGTAATCATATCTGAATAGTGATATTTATGTTGTATAATTTCATATAATTGTTTTATTAAATCATTGATACTTTCATTCATTGAATCATATTGAATATTCATTATTGTTAATAATGATTGTAGATCATGAGTCTCATTATGATTATCATTATCAATATTAGCTGGTTTCTCATTTTGTTTATTATTTTGTATTTTTTCATAATGTTTAAATATTGTTAAACAATTAGATGGTGTTAATATAAGTAAAATATTTTCTGGTGTTAAGTTCAATTGGATTGATTTATTTTTATCTAAACATTCACTTAAACTTAGTAGTACATTAAGTTTAATACAAGTTAGAAATAGATCTACACATGGTTGTGGTTGTTGTTCTTGATGAGGATGATGTTCATCACTTTCTACTTTTTCATGTTTTTCAAATAAATTTAACAACGTTTTCAAGGTTACAGCTAAACAAATTGAATGAAGTAATTTATCATCTGAATGTTTCTCTGTATTATTTTTGCTTTCCAATGAATGTCGATTTCCTGGTGAAGGTGTTTTTGTAGTTTGATTATCTAACCAATTTGTTAATAGTTTATCGATTGTTTTTTTAGGGAATCTGATTTTTTGTGAAGATTCGTTGGCTGTATTCTGTATTACATCAACAAAAAAAATTCAAAACGTTATATCAAAATATACACGTAATTATTATTGACTTGTTGTTTAACTACTTTTTTTCTTTATAAGTAGTTAAATGTTGCCTAGAGCATTTTTGTAACGATGGCTTTAGGATGCAACGGTTTGGTTTTAACAGTCAGAGTGAGGATTTAGGATTAGAACTTAAAGCTAGCATCAGGATGTAGGAATGACAATTTAGATTTACAGTCAAGATTATAGTTCAAGATTTATTGTTAAGATTTAATATCAGGATTGTTTTTTCGGTTAACCTTCATCCTAATACTAGGCCTCAATCTAATTTCCGGTTCTCAAACCAAATCCAAAAGTCTAAATCATATTTATAACTCTAACATAAATTACTTAATCATATTTTATTCATTGAAGTGGATCATCTAAGTTCGATTGACGATATTGTGTTTCGGTTTATACATCGTGACCCTGAAATGATCTGATCACACCTGATTGGCTTGCCTTTATATTTCAGCTTTACTGATATTTGGACAGTTGATTATTCACGAAAATATCATCTGAATTTCATATGTTGAAGGCTTAGTTTTTGTCTAATGCATGCACTTTTTGATATAAATGTATTTTTAGAGTCATATCAATAATGGATCAATGTTAGATCACCATTGAAAACCTGGAAACAGTGATAAATGTATTTATTTTATTTTATTATTTTCAATGTTATCGGCTAATCGATTTTCAATACGTTGACTATATTCCACGTAAAAAAAAGCATTGAGTTATGAATAATTTAGTCAACCGTAGATCTTGATATCTAATTTTACATCCTTTGGATAAATAATAGCGCGTATCATTCAATTTTGTTTGTTTACAGTCATTATTAAGAGTGATGGAAAGTGGTTAAGATAAAGTGTATATATATATATATATATATATATATATATATATATATATATATATATATATATATATTCAGAGACAAAAGATCAGATGTTATATTACAGTGTTTTTGTAACTGATTGAAACATAGTACAATGGGATGAAGAAAAAACGATCCTTATTCGGTACGCGCGTTTCGTCCTACTTGGGACTCGTCATCTGGATGCACCTGCATCTCAGAGTTGATGTCCTGGATTCCACTGCTAGCCATTATCCATAATTGCTCACAAAAAGCTTGTGAATTAAGGCAATATCGAGGCATACACACATTATGCACATATGCCAATCACATACTGATCAATTGCAGTCTTAAACCTCAATGGGAAGATACAAGCTGAACAATACCAAGTGTATGCTTATTTATATTTAGTTATATGTCATTCAATGCATGTAACTCACTTATGTATTACAGTAATAATTCGAATAGCCAAAAAAAACTGTCACTATGAACTAACTTCTGTTATACAACTACTGAAATCAGAAAGCAATAGATAATAACTGTTTTGTTTTTGCATGGAGCTTTTCGTTATTGACAGTCTATAAACTAATCAAGAATCTCCTGGTGTTCACTTAACCATTGAACCAACATCTATTGGCTTACATAATCAACTTTATCAGTCTGTACTATTATGCAAACATCTCCATATATATTATTTGGTAGATAAATACCTCAAATCTGAAATAGCTAGATACTAATGACCTTTACTTCTTACTTGCAGATTTCTGAAACTAGTCGAGTTGATTTAGATTCCATTAGACTAACCTTTATTTAAGTTTATCAAATGACCTTTAGTTCTCACTACAAGTCTTTGAAATAACTCTAAAAATAAGTCACTGATAAACATCTGGATTCCATCAGAGACTAATCTTCATTGAAGTTTATCAAATGTAAGAAAAAAAACAAACAAACAAACAAGCAAGAAATAAAGAAACAATTTACCAATACAACATATTCATAGTTTGTATTCGGTTCACAAACAACAGATAATTCATTCCAATCATCAATTGTACCATATTTATTCCATAATTGTTCATTGAAATGTTTTAATGGAAATAAGAATGTAACAAATTCACCTTTTAAATCTAATGAACGTAATTTCATACATGTGAATAAATATTCTGATAAACAATGAATGAATAATTTCGAGTTTTCATTGTTATCATGATCGGTTAATGATAAAGGGATATGATTCTCATTTAAATTATAAAGTAATGGATGTATAGTTTTCAATGCATCTATCAATGAAGCTAATGATTTTGGTGAATCGGAACGCATTACTTCAGCAGACATAGCAATATTGTTATTATTATTATTAGTAGTAGTAGTAGTACTAGTAGTAGTATTATAGTGGAATTTTGAAAATCGTTTATTTTCTGTCATTTTAGCAAAATATGGTAAAGCTAATGCATCAGGTTTTGTGGATCCAATCTGAAATATGAACAGAAGAATAAAGAATACTATTATGATTGTTATATCCGAATGAAGATTAAATCACAAGTAACTTCTGAGACATATTAATTGACTAATATCATGTATATATTCTTATGGTGTAACTATTCAACAATTAGATTATGTTTATTTATATTCCCCTTATTATAAGCTTTATTTTGACCTATAATTTATTATTGTACGATTTAAGGTTCTTAAGCTATATTCAGTTGATTGAGTACTGCCTACCACGTTCACGTTGGTCCAATATAGAATTCTCAGCAAAATGTATTTCAACAAGTTCCCTTTTCTAATTTCTTGATCGATCATGATGATAAATATTGATTGGTCGCCAGCTTAGATATTAGCAGTTCAAGAATCAATATTTGAATAATGTCTATTGTTTTCGATGCATATTGCCAGAAACTACGCTATCTCTGATTAGGCTCTTTTGTAAGTTGTACAACGAAATGTAGTGAATGTTTCACAAATTCACCTATACAGGTTATGAGACTAATAGGTATAATGATGTGTTAAAACATACAGAAAAATAGATAACTTATTGAAATATTTAGATGGCAGGAATACGTAGCTCAGATATTCAATGAGGTTAAAGTTTAAATGATCATAAGACCTTAATGTAAAGTTGAAAACATTTCTTAACAAGTAGTCCTATCATGTTGGACGTTGATCATAGTTGAAAACATATTGACAATAATATCTGTTCTTGTGTTAATGATATCTATACCACTTTGAATAGCTTCAAAAATTAGGCATTATTTAACAGTAGTTTATATTTCTGGATCCTTGTGTTAATCTGATGTCGGAGATAGTTAAGCATGAAAATCTTAGTCTATTTTTTTACTATGTTCCTATTTCATTAATTCTTCTGTTATTCAGTGAATACTGTGGTAAATTTTATTAGTTAAATTTATGAGTTGATTAATATAAAAAACTTGGAGGTACTGGACGACCGTTTTGTCCTAGTATAGGACACATTTAACAGTCATTCAATGATTCCAGGTTTTTCATGATGGTCTAGCTTTGATTAACTCATCAACCCAACTATTAAAAATTGCTACAATATCCACAAAACCCTCTTTCTGATAATAATTATCATGTGCTCACTAGTGACTGGTTTCATGAGGTCTTTCCTCGAGTTCTAGTGAGAAGCCGTGACCAGTGGAGTTCAACCATGTGTATTGTAGAAACAGTTACTCACCGCCGGTGGTGCAATATCGTGGATTGGTTTAAGTTAGACATTAACACTGTTGAATACCGCTTCAACGATCTACAGTTTTAGCGTTCTTGCGCGAGACTCAAGGTCTCAAGTCTGAGTCCCACGTGCGGGGTCGTGGATACACACTTCTGGTGAGTCAAAAATCAGGACGAAAATGCTGTCTAGTAATTTCAGTTTTTCAGTGGTAATCTAGTTCACATTGACTCATGAATTCAACTATCAATAATAAATCTATTCAGCCGGTTGTGAAATTCCCTCTTTTCAATGATAATAATCTAAAACAAAGAAGTATGAATGATCGTTTCGTCCTATTGTGGGAATCTTCAACAGTGAGCATCCATGATGCCCGCCTCACGAGATTTGAACCCAAGACCTTTCAGTCTCGCGCGCGAGATTAATTTGTAATAAGTTGACAAAATTTATCGAAATAAACAGTTGAATAGAGTTAGTGAGAAAAAAAGTAACCACAACAGATAATATGATTTTAAGTCAACATTTATGTATAGATTAATTTGTGCACGTTTACTATTGTGTAGTTAAATTGTTTAGTTATGGTAATTGAATGAGAAAAACGAAAAAAAACTAGTAATTGATAAATAGAACTAAATTGATGAGAACGTTTTAGTTTACATTATGGATTAGGAAAAAATATACAGTTGAAAGTCAACTTAGTGGTTTAAAGGTGAAGTGGTCAGTTGAAGACTTCAGGGTCTTAGGTTCAACCTTTGGTTAAGTTTCAAGTAACACTGTTGAGAAGTCTGAGACTTGGATGAAACAAGTGTCCAGCATTTCTTAGTTTAAAATGTTCCCCCCTCCTCTTTTATTTAGTTATCGATGTCAACTATAAGATATAACAGTTGTCATCGATTAATATATAGGGGCTATTACTCGTATGTCCTTATGTCCTGTTAGTTATCACGTGACAAAAGTACCTATTAGAACACCGACCTATATGACGTTGGCGCTGTGCCAAACCAGTTAATATTCACACTGAGACTGGGACCAACTACATTACACTTCTACCAAGTCTTCTAATTTGAATTACACTGTTACTCACTTATCATAGAATAGAAACTGATGACTATAGACTATATAGCGGCGATGTGCTCAGGATGCACATATGTTTACAGAAACTAATAAATTGCTATACTTAACGTCAACAATGGAGCAGTATATACATTTAAAGAATGAATTGAATTACTTGCATTTATTATTTATTTATTTAAACACATAAACATTGATACAAGGAGGCACCAAATAGATATACGCCACATAAACCACTCCAATTGTGTGGGAGATGGAATGCTGTCTGGGTGCCAAAGCCTAAGAAGGTGTTTTTTTAGGGTGCCATATTCAAAGCCTTTGACCTAAAGGTCTAATCCACAAGGCAATAGAGCAACGTCAGCCAGTGGAACGTTGTTAGAGTCTGATGCTCTTTCGACTGAGCTAACCGGGCTCGACTGGTGGGCGCGGCTTGTTACCCTTTTACTTACATTCATTATGTAAATAAATGTTGAGTTGTTAAACACATATTTCAATAATCACAAAATGTAATTATACTTGCTTAAATAAAGCTGAAGAGGTATCTCATAGTTAATTACATCGAAATTCAAGAGAAACGAATTTGAAGTTTGGAAAAATACAACTGTACTACTTATGAGTAACTAGTTGTTCATCGTATAAATTTCGAAAGTTAATCATAAATCAACTGATTATTGGTTAATACACCTGTTTGTTTTTAATCAACTTCAGGTGAATTGTTCTGGTAAGTGTGACAATCATTATGGTATTTGATATAATGTTACTGATTATCTGTCGTTTTGAAAGAAAGAAGAGACTAATACACTGGGATGAGGATGAACTCTATATGCTTTCAGTAAAATCTGTCAAGATCGATACATAGTTGAACTACATGGTACTTTGTAAAAGAAAGAATCAAATGCATAGTTACTAGGTTTAAAGAAATACCATTATTCTACGTTTCATTGAATATTCACTGTATTATATTGATTTATTTGTGATAGAGGGGAAAAAGCAAGTATTTAGGCATAAGCTAGGGTGAGCGCAAATTGAAATTTTCTACTAAGTAAAATAAAACCATTCAGGTGTAAATCATGTGAAGAACTTGAAATATTGTGAATATATGCAGTGGGAAATCAAAGAAATCCATCTAAGTTTCCTAAATGTTCTAGAATATCGTGATATGGAGAGCCAGTCAAAAGTAGCTTAATGAGAAGGTCAATCGATAGCAATCAGAAGGGACCTAAAGGCGAGTGGATTTCATCGGCTAAGAAATAGGTTGGTTTACCAAAGATTAGAGTGCCATGTGTACAAGTCAGTATTTATGTATTTCATTTTGTAGCCCAATACACTATCTCTCTTACTCTTATGTTCTCGCTCAAGTAGTTAGTTGGTGGAGCGCAGGTGGGTTAGTATGTATCATACCGTGTATCAGTATCAGATTTTGAATACTTCCCTTCACAACACATCTGATCAATGACATATATATCACCAGCTACAACTATCGCAAGAAACTGAACTAAAGAGTAGACTAAAACCATTAATTTGAAAATTGCTTGAAATGAAGTGATATTGAACAAGATTATCAATGAGTATTTCAAGAAATCTGAACATGGTTAACAACATTTGAAACTATCTTAGTAAATGTACACAACCACACTATCAATTGTAGTTGGAGGTAGTCGACAGGAAACCCTGGACCCAGGTTTCGTGCTACTTGGCACTCGTCAGCAAGGTGTAGCTGTAATCTTGAAGGAACTGGTGCTCTCCGACGGATTCGATTCCGTGTCACTCAGCTTCACAATCAGAGATGTTAACACTGAGTTATCCGGGCCGCGACCGACCTCCTGTATGACTGAGATGTAATCACAATTGACTGATCACTGGTTGGTGATCAATGTCATGTGCATCAAGTACTTCTTAATTCACATCGAATGCTATCGACCAAGTTGCAATGTGGCCACCAGTCTAGGTGACTCGACACTGAGTGCACTATGTTGAGATTAGATGGTGGTTGGAGATAGTCGACAACCCAACTATCATTCATTGTTCAATAACAAATCAAAATGAAATCTAGCAATGAATTTTGCAAAGGATTCTATTTTTCATGAGTTTCCTACTGTTAATTGAATCATGGTGAAAAAAGACGAACTGTGCGCTTCTTCATGTGAATTCAGCAGATGGTTGTTATATGCGTAAATGCGTGAACGGATTTGAGAATGATCATATATTTTTCTACCTCTATTGTCTAAAATAGTATGTTATAGTATGTTACTATAGTTTTAAAACCTCACCCTGAAATTCTGATTCATGAAATTCGATCAGTGCTAAAAACTAATCAATTTTGATGTTGGCTACAATTCAGTAAATCATCAATTTCAAACACCTTAGTTTTACAACAGACTAGCGGCCACCTGAATAGCTCAATAATACCTCTAACATTGTGCAACTGAATGAATCGATTTTAAATCTCAAAGCAAGGATATGTTTCCTGTGGATTGTATATACATCTTGTTAATGAATATTAAATAACATGGAACCTGGGTCGAACAAAGTTTTTTGACGACTATCTTCAATTGGCTATCATTGGAATGGATCTCAGTCTACAGTGATTGAAAATTTTGCGAACAATATAGAGACTAGTTTATTTAAATATTCTTCATGTAATATGTATTATGGTAGTATAATCAATCTATAAATTGTCAACGTGAATCCTTTGTTTTAATTGATTCGGTTGAGAATGTTTGTGCTAGAATATGATAATCTATGGATCAGAATTATTCATTACTGTGCTTTATTCACAAAGGACTACATTAGTTATATAGTTAGATGGTAATGAGAATTGTTCAATTTTCGTTTAAATGTGATAATGTTTATTCCCCCCCCCCCAAAAATCGCTTTGCCTGTGCTAAGTTCGAGAACAGATTTGAAAATCTCATTTGGTGAAATAATATTCAATGTCAAAGTGTCTTCGAAGAATAATTATGTAAATCATACATTTTCAAAAATATAGAACAGATTAACTAAAACCATTGAAGTTGAACAGAGAAAACTAAACATCCCTTCTTTATCATATGGCACGGTGAGAGTATAATTTATGGACAAACCAATCAGACATAAGATTACAGGTCTAGGATTTTGGTGCGGAATTCACTTTTACATTTGGTTAAATACAGTTTTCGCATTATAGCTAATGTCAGTTCGTGATAAAAAAAACCTAAATCATAATTCCTAACCTTAACTATCAACTGTACATCATAATTCGTATTCCTTACACTGTTTTATAGTCTTCATTTGGTCCTAGTTATTAGGTAGAGGTCACTCAAGGTCACTTTAGTGTCGCCCAAAGGTCGTCCATGAATTATAGACTCACCGATGTGAATGTTGAGATGGAAATTACCGCTGTACTGTTGATCATTGATCATGGAAGCAGAACGAATGATCATAAGTTGTTAGGATAAAATAATAATAATACTAATAAAACAACTAAAGCAATACTAATAAATTTGAAATCTAACGCGGTTAATATTTTGTATAATACAAAAATGCTCAATCTATCCAATAAGATGATGTTTTAAGAAATCATTCAAGAGTCATTATATTAAAACAATATAATACTTGGAGAAACTTCACCTTCATCAAACACCATTATTAAGAATATATTATGTTATATATTGAATATAAGAAAAGAACATCCTAATCAACTTAATTCATTGAAGAAGTGTAATTGTTTATAAAACATAGTGATAGGATTATATTCAATGTGTTTACCTGTGGTTTGTAACGAATAAGCACTGAAGATGTCTAATTTATTAAAGTGAATATATAGGTTTATTATTATTATTATTAGTAGTAATAGTACTGTTTATGAGGAGTGAAGATTTATTTGTTGACACATTATAAAAGGAAGAAAAACACACACTAGAAACAAAATCCTGGAGTTCTAGTGAGAAACTGTGATCAGTGAAGTTTAACTGGGTCTGTTGTGAGATAGTAACTCACTGATGACAATGGTGGAGATTGGCGCAACTTCGTCAATTGATCGAAGTTAAACATTAACACTGTTAGGTGCCAAACGGTTCAGTGGTCTAGAGGTTAGGCGCACGAGCACGGAACTTATAGGTCCTGGGTTCGAGTCTTGCGAGGCGAGACCATGGATGCTCACTGCTGAGGAGTCCCATGCTAGAACAAAGCGGCCGTCCAATGCTTTCAGGTTTTCCATGATGGTCTAACTTCAATTAAGTCATGAATCCAATTATTAAAATTACTATTATATCCACAAAACTCCTCTTTGATTACAAAAAAGATTTGTTGAAGATTATTTTAATTTATAAAAGGTATTCATCATGGATTGAATTTATTTGAGATACAATGAACAATTAAGTAGCGTTAGATAACGCTAGTTAGTTTTCGATGCTTCTTCAGTCAATTTCATTCTGTGATGTAATATTCTCCTAAAAAGACTGATATCTCATAAAGAGTACAAAATGAAAGATTTGAAATGTTTAACATTTGTTTTTCTACACCAAACCATTTATTAATAATGTATAAAATATGTTCGAATTTCAGTTAGGTTGTCATTTGCAAACGCTTTAACATTCACTTATTGGACTGGAATAATATTCTGTAACATACGTTCATACCTTCACTTGGAGCGTTTCTAAGGCTACTGTCGGTCCGGAACCCAAATAAAAAAGGAGAGCTGAAAATGGATTAGCAACACCATTTGGTAGGAGACAATCTTGCTAAAGAAGGCTTACCACAAACAAAACCATGTGAAAGATTCGAACCCTGACATGGGAGTTGAATGATATTCATACTAGAAGGGTTATAACGCCTCATGGAGAAAACTGGCATTTATCAGATACCACAAGGCTGATACCTGTTTTGACAACCAGATCAACAGTTAATATAGGTATATAGAATGTCCGTATAATATGGAAGGCCGAAATGGCCAATTAAGTAGCTGTGGAAATTAGAGGATACAAATTGGTGATACTCGGAATAAGTAAAACCCATTGGACACAGGCTGAGCAGAAAGCATTAGATTTGGAAGAGATGCTGTCGTACTCTAGTCATGAAGAAGGAAATATTTCGCACATACAAAGAGTTACACTGATGCTGTCCAAAGAGGCACTAACAGAATTTATGAGATGGGAAGCCCATGGATCCAGAATCATCAAGACATCCTTCTAAACATTGAAAAAGGGGATCAGAATGAACTCCATCCGGACCTATGTTCCCGTCAATGATAGTAACGTAGACGACAAAGATCACTTTTATGAGAACTGAACCCATTGGACATCGAAGCATTACACACAGAACTTCTAGTACATATCACACCACTAACGATCGAAGTAATCAGGATGGCTACCAAAAAAATTAAGAGTGGTAAAGTAGCAGGACCTGACAATGTACCAGTTAATCCCTAAAGTCAGACACAAAAGTAACTGCAAAAATGCTCCACATTCTATTTAGGAAGATTTGGAAGGAAGAACAGGATCCAATGGACTTAAAGGAAGGACACCTCGACAATATATCAAAGAACGGAGATCTGAGCAAGTGTGGGAACTACAGAGGCATCACACCACTATCGGTACCAGGAAGTGTTTTCAACAGAGTGCTGCTGAACCAGACGACCAACTTAAAAATCAACAGTCTGGATTCCGTAAGGATCGGTCGTGCACAGACCAAATCACGACACTACGGATCATAGTTGAGAAGTCGGTCCAATAGAACTCGTCATTATATATCAACTTCCTTGAGTATGAGAAAGTATTTGACAGTGTGAATAAGAGAAATTTGTGGAACCTTGTTCGAGACCATGGTGTACCTCAAAATCATACGTAACCTATACGACGGACCACACTGCAAATTGGTGCATGGAGGACAGCTGGCAGATGCAGTCCAAGTGAAGAACGTCTTCAGACAAGGCTGCTTACACTCACCTTTTCTTCTTCTTCAGTTGATCGATTGGATTATGTAGACCTCAATATCTCAGTAGAAGCACGGAATACAATGCACAGCTTAGATGCATCGTGGCGATTCGACTTTGCAGATGGCCTAGCCCTTCTATCTCATACACACCAACGAATAAAAGTCAAGACAAACAGTTTAGCAGCAAAATCTAGAGCAGTAAGCCTCAGCATACACAAAGAAAAACGAAAGATCCCGACTAGATCACATTTGGTGGAGAAGTTTACTTACACCGGCAGCATCATCAATGAACAAGGAGGATCTAATGCAGACGTGAAGGTATGGATTGGGATAGCAAGGAAGGCATTCCTACAACTGAAGTATATATAGAACTCAAAACAACTGTCAGCCAAAATCAGAGCTAGAGCCTCCAATGAGAATGTCATGACAGTTTCTACTGTACGGAGCTGAAACTTGAAGAACTATCACAACCATCATCAAGAATGTACAAGTATTTCCAAACAGTCGTTAACTCAAGACAATCAGTGAAACGTTGGTCGGATACCATCAACACCAACCTATTTTGGAAAAGGACGAACGAGCTTCCAGCGGAGGAGGAAATTAGGGAAAGATGTTGTAAGTGGGTAGGACACACGTTACGGAAATCATCAAACTGAATCACGAAACAAGCGCTAACCTGGAATGCTGAAGGGAAACGGAAAAGTGGAAGAAAAAAGAATACACTGCGTTGAGAATTGAAAGCAAACATGAAAATGATGAATAGAAACTGGAAAGGGTTGTCCAGGACAGAGTTGGATGGAGAATGCTGGTCGTCGCCCTATGTTCTTCGACGAGTGGTGATAGGCATTCAAAGTTTATTTGATATAATTAGTATACAGTAAACAAATGAGAGCTTAACTATTCTCTAATGAGAAGAAATTATTATTCAGATAAACTAAACGAGTAAATGAGTAAATGATCTTTTTTTCGTAAATGCAGTATCCAATGGATGAATGAATAGTGAGATTGTTACAAATTTTACGCATACAAATACATAGAGAAGAGATAGAGATTTAAAGACTTGAAAGATATCAAAGTGTTAAACAATACCGGATGAGAATGTTTTCAGGACCTTTTCCTTGTATCAACGAACACTTAATTCACACGAATCTATCTGCTAATAATTTGAATGAACTGGAAAATCTGAGAATCAAATTAGAAATAACAGTATATGCTATTCTCAGCAACTAACAAATGAATATTGAAAATATCAGAATATTATACAAAGACTTTTTTAATCATAGACTGAAACGTGTCGCTGATGTTGCACATAGACTTCTACCTGAAGTTTGTCCCGATTATGTCGTTTAGAAGAACGATGAAAGCTTCACGATCAAACCATTCAGCTCAGAGAACAAAATTCCATCAAACTCATCAATAGTGCTCGTCTACAACCCTGGATCTGGGAGTCGAATCCATTACCTTTAATCTCGCAAGTAAACACTTAACCTTCCTGTTCCTTCACACTATTTAAACCGACCCTAATTCAATCCGGTCATTTATTTATTCGCTCTGAAAATGTAGCTTATATTAAGTCACGAAACATCAACACATTCTAATTTCTACTTATCGAAATATCAAAAACAAAATAGACCTCTATATTTTTCTAATGAAAATACCTGATTGTTTGGTGTTAGTTTGTAATCTGCTATAAATAACTGATCACGTGTCTCTGTGCCCGGTGTTCGATTAGATTTTTCTAACAGAGTCGATCTCTGTGAAAAAGAGATTAAAAAGGAAATAAGGAAACAATATTTGGTTTATTTTACTAAAAGTTCGTGTGTATATGGTTTATTTACGTAATAATACCAGGGGGTATGTTTTAGTAATTTCTGCCAACGTTAAATGTTATACTATATATAAGTTGTTTAGTCGGCTTTCCGAGAACTGCAACGGAGCCTCCAGAAACCCTAAAGGAGCCGAAGAGTCCTAGCCAATCAGAGCATAATGGAGCTTTCTATAATGTCAACGTGGCGTGCTACTATTGATCAGTAGCATAATATGTCTTTTAGCGGATTGGCCAAAATATGATGTTGATTTAACAAATGTTAACATCTATAAATACCCGTGTTTTTCTGTACAAAAATGAACCTTTGGAGTAAAGTGTTTTTCGCTTGTTTGTGTCTTCTCTCTCGTGTTCAGGTCGCTGTCTAGTTCTAGCTTGGAGGTTACAGAATAGCTTAGGAAACGAATATAGGGTTGTATGTTAATGGGTCGATCTTGAATAATATGATCTATTCGAGTGATAGTGATAATAATTGTTTCTACTATCATGTATATATAATATTTACATAATATAAGCAGGTAAGTCGTGGCCCATTATCGTAATAATTACTTCTTTGATTATAATAAAACGCTGATGAATTGAGTCCCGCCAAAATTTGACTTAAGTGGCTGATTATTATAAGTCTTGTGACAATCGGTTTGGCTCCAAATACCGAATAGAAACATCAGTCCTTTGTTAGAACGTGTTAATCAGACATAAACACAATAGAAACGATTCCCAATGTTATTAGATCTATGAGTTGAATGGAAATGAAGATAATATTCTAATCGATGAGACGAATCGATTATTCTACTGATGTCTTAAGTGACAGTACCAATCATGATGGTTGTATAAGGTGGAGCTAATTTATGTCGGGTGTGAGACATCCACCAAAGACAATCAGGGATGGCGGCATGATGTCGTGAATTGATTGTGGTTAGATACTAACGCTGCTGGATGCCGGCTCAGCGTTCTAGATAGCAAGCGTTCGGGTGCGAGATCCGAGGTTCTAGATTCGAACACTGTATGTGAGGTCGTGGGTGCGTACTCCTCAAGAGTTCCATGCTACGACAAAACAGACGTCTAGTTCTTCCAAATTTGTAACGGTGGTCTGACATAGATTTCGATGATATTATCTTTTGTTCAGAGTTATTGTGATTTCACTTGACTCGTATTTCACTTTTTTCAACTATAAAGTCATAGTTTGTACGAAATTATATTTTTCTTATTCCTTATACGTTGTAGTTTTGTTATTTATATATTTATTCATATACCTATCTTGAGTTGTTCAAATGAGGAGTAAGTCGGATGTATTGTTCCAATTAAATTATCTTCCCATTCGGCTTCCCAACCAATCAGGTCAGCAGTGGGATAGTTTCTTCTCTCTGACCTCAAAGTAGTTCATTCACAAATGGAATTCACGTGGTACAAGTCTCATGGTTATAACATATTCGCTATTACGTCAACGCTGAACACAACATCAAAACATACTAGTGGGTAGATCAGACAAGGATAAAACAGATTTGATGATATCTTCCAGAATGGCAATAAAAACTCCACAATCAAATTAACTTTCTTAAAAAACCTAATAAAATTGCAATATATTAACAACAACGATACATATCGAAATAATCAGTTATGATTTAATATAAACAAACTCAAGGTTATTTTTAATAGCACTTACTTGTAATGAATGAAGACTAGTTACTTGTCGTTCTGGCGAAACACTTAATTCTCGTTTGCAATTTGGTGATTGATATTGATTGTTTATCTGTACAAACAAAACATAAAGCAAATATATTTAGCTTGTATTTTTCACAGCTTAATCTTAATTGAAGTGTCATTTGAAACTTTTATTAATAAAGTGAAGGGGTGTCTTGTCCTTCTTACCATTGAATATCTATAATAGTATTGAGAGAACAGAAAGCGAATGTTTGGCTCCTTAACTGGTTTCATAGACACGGAGAATCTACATAGGAGAGTTGAAAAACTCTTATTCCAAACCAATAGTGCACATGGGCTCCGTATCTTGAAGGATCAAACGGCGTATGAACCTATTGTTTATCACCGGCTTCCATGTGACTGCATCACCTTACGATGCTCCACTACCTTATGGATCAGACCTGTAGGTCGAAAGCTCCGGGTATAATACCCTAAGAAAACCACCTGTTTCGGTTTGGTCACCCGGGTAGTATCCTAGCCTTCACACAAATCGAATGATTTATGTGGTGCATATGTATTTGGTGTCCTTTTGTACCAATGTTTATGTGTTTAAATAAATCAATAATAATAAACAGTCAAATGAAAATATCCATAGTAACATGTTTTTTGATTAACATTATGAACCGATTGATGTTAGATCACTATTGAAAACATGAATTTCCCTACGAAGATATATCCTACAAACTATATTCCATTATCTTAAATTCACTAACCTTAGTACAATGTATTTGTTCTGTATTTGGTTCTGTTTGTTGAACTGTAGATGAATAATTATTTCCTGCTGTAGTTTTTAATTGTTGTTTAATTACAATATGATCTTGTGCAGTATGTATTTGTTTTGGTGGATTAGTTTTATGTCGTTTTAATTTTGGAAATTTCGGTGGCCAATTATATACTTCACTACATTTATATCGTTCTGTAATAATTTTTGGTTTACGCGGTTTTAATGTACCACCATTATTATAATGATGATCAAATTCATTAAATGACATAGTTGCGGCTTGATATGTTGGTTGATAAACACGAGGTCTTGTTGGATAATCTGTATACTAAATAGATTAGAAAAATACATATACAATGAATATGTGAACATAAATAATATGAATCAGAAGGGGGGTTTTGTGGAGGTTTTAGTAATTTCACTAGTTGAGATCATGAGTCAATTGAAGCTAGAGAACCATGGAAAACCTGGAAGCACTGGACGGCCGTTTCGTCCTATTGTGGGACTCCTCGGCAGTGCGCATCCACGACTCCGCTTCATGGGATTGGAACATAGGATCTATCAGTCTCTCGCGCAAGTGCTTAACCACTCGACCACTGAACCGGTTGGCATCCAACGGTGTTAAATAATCACTTTGTTTATCTAATCATATTTAGATTTAAAAGATTAATGATTGTCCATTTATCTTTTACAGTTCAATGTATTTACGATATTTCCTTCTTGTGGTATATTAAACTCATTAAGTAAATAAAAGAACTGATATTCGGTAGGAAATCTTAACTGACAGTTCTGACTAAGGTAAGAGCATATGGACTGAGACCTTCATGTAGGTGTACAGTCGAACTGTTTTGTTATTCTGCACCAACCACGTAAGTTTATAATGGGATTAGAGCATAGATATTTGATATTCTTTATAATCAATTAATCTATCACATTCCTCTACTAAAAAGTGTATCTTTCATTTGCCGTTCAATTGTACGCATTGAAGGCAAGGAACATTAGAGTTAAGCTTTAAAATATTTGTGAAGTTTTATATTTTTGATTGTAGAGAACTAAAGTGTTTGCAAAAATTTTTGTCATTGTATTTTCTTTTAATTTACGAAGGGAACTAACTATATTTCAGAAAGACATTGTATGATCTAAGTTTGAGTCTCGTTGGACCGTCTTATTTTCTCAAGATAGCTAATACAAGTTCAAAACTAATACGAGATCTAAATGAAGCAATGCTTTCTATGTAGTTCTTTTGATCAACCGACATATTATTGATTAAATCTTGATAGAAGCCAGCACTAGGATCTAGAAATCAAATCTCATCTTATTTATGACTTGTTGGCCAGATGTATTTACATACCACATAGATATGGAATACAAACTATGACAAATATATTTAATACATCATTTAATATAGAACTAAGTATCGTGATTTATTCATGTAGAGTGAAAATTATGACAGAAAGACAATTTCTGTTGATGGATTTTTGTTCTCTGAGCTGGATGGTTTGGTCGTGATATGGAGAAAATATAGTTGTTTCCAGAGAACAAAACTTCATCAAAATCATCTATCTGAGCTACAAATCTTCTCCACCATCTCAAGACAATTGTTCTCTTTACAGATAATCCAAAATTTATTCGGTTTGAAGACTATCATAACTATTGTTACCATTTTAACAATTAATGATTACATTTTTGTATTGGTTGTTTGAATCTTTCTAATGATGTTTAGGATTGTAATTGATCAGCCTCTGTTATTGGCATATGTGTATTTTATGCGGATTGCCTTGATATGGCTATTAAATTACAAGCATTATAAATAGAGATGGATAGTGGCTAGCAGTGAAATTCAGACGCACTTTTCGTCCTATTTTGCACTCATCAGATGGATGCGCCTACATCCTAGAGTTCAAGTCTCGGAGTCAACAACAATCCCAAGATGCAGGTACATCCAGTTAACGAGTCCCAAAATAGGATGAGACGCAAGCCTTGGATTCTATCGCTAGCCACCATCCATTTTTGTTTATAAAAAAAACAATTTATTGTATACGTTTTATAATGCATGACACGAACTTACATGATGATAATTGTTAGCAATAATAAAGAATATATGGAAGAACACCAGTGTATTAAAAGATAACACACATAGCATAGATAGAAGACAGTAAAAGATAATCTAAGCATTGTTTAAATCATAATTATAAAGATAATGATAAAGATTAAGGTTTTATTAAAGTTATCAATGGATATATAGTATGGGAGATTTGTGAAGATTGTTGACCTTAATAATTTGTATCCAAGACTGATATAAACTATAAAACCACTAAAACAAAACCCTGAAATCACTTTATAGCTCTTCCATAACGGTATGTAACTCCTTATCATTGCAGGTACATGATCTAATTTGGGATGAATATAAACTAATATGAACAAAAACAAATCAGGGTTTCCCATCAACTATTTACAATCACCTAACACTACAATATAGGACAAGCAATATTAAGTCATTTAAGACAATTATCACATTACAACTAATCGATAAAGCAAACAAACAGAAACATTGTTCACTACTTAGTGATCAATTGTATTTGTATATACAGAACCAAATTGTCAGAAGTCTTTGACCTGGTAGTTTACTTCAAATAAATATCCATTTGTTGTCTTTCTTACCAGTTTACACAAATCATTCCAAAATGTTTACACAAAATCAATCATACTTAATTAACAATCTTTATCAGCTTGCTGTAATCGGACAAGAACCGGTGCTTTCAATGTGGTATGGTCACCGGTAGCAGCTTTTAGCTCTTCTAGAGTTACTGCCGGTCCCAAGCCCGGTAATGGAGGAGGGTTGGACATGTGTTAAGCGACTGTATCCCGTAGAAAACTAACTCGCTGAAAAACACGCTAACCAGAAAAATTATCAGTTGGAATAAATCGAATTAAAAAAAAGCGGGGAGGGAACAAAATGATCCTTAAAAAAAGGAAACAATGATCAGAATATCGGTGATTCACTAGTGAATACTACAAAAAAGAAATAACATCAGTTTAAAATCATTAGATGTGACGATACTACTAATAAGACTACTACTATTGTAATCATATAAGCAAAATGTGAATTTTATAAAATTATAAAAAAACAATTACAAGAACAATGCTCTGTATACAACATGTTTTTTAATCATTAAACTTCTAGTAAGTTGTTAAGGTATGTCTCTTACTAAAATGAATAAACGAATTGATCAAGGTGGTTTTGTCATGTGTACTATTGATATCGATAGATATAAGTAGTATGTATCATCAATCGAAAGTGAAATGTATGGTGACAGAAAGTTATGAAGATCAATGAAAAGAGAATGAGAACAAAAACTTATTAAGTTTTAGATTGAGATCATGTGAGTCCGTTCATACATGTGAAAATTCGGGAACTATTCTATAAAGATTTAGTGTATTTATCATTGTTATGTATCTACTAAATATATTCGGTTCACTTTATTCTTATCTTTCTCTAACAGTAAGCTTTCATGTAACTCTTTAATTGTTGACACATCCCTTAGGTGGAGGTTTTAGAAATGTCACTGGTTGAAATCATGAGTCAGTTGAAGTTAGACAACCATGGAAAACCTGGAAACACTGAACGGCCGTTTCGTCCTAGTATGGGACTCCTCGGCAGGGCGCATCCACGATCCCGCACCCCACGAGACTCGACCCAGGACCTATCAGTCTCGCGCCAGGCGCTTAACTAGCTAGACCACTGAGTCGGCATCCAACGGTGTTAATGTCTGACTCCAACCAATCCACGAAGTTGCGCCACCGTACACCATTATTTTCAGGTTTTCCATGGTGGTCTAGCTTCAGGTGACTCATGATTTCAACCAGTGAAATTTCTAAAATCTTCACAAAACCCATTCTGATAATAATCACCTGCTTACTAGTGACTGATTTAGGGAGATACTCCTGGAGTTCTAGTGAGAAGCCGACATCTCTTAAGTGTTTAAAAATTAAGGTTCATTAATTATGTAATCTGGTATTCATTTGTAATTGAGTAGGCTGGGGGTAGACAAAATTTTGTGTGGGTCAATCACCATTAGCATCCTTTGTAGGCATACTGGTCAAGGCAAGCTGTTTAACATTATTTTCACAAACGAACTCATCATTAATGAAATAAATATGTTTATATTTCTATGAAGTGGGGTTATAGTGGTGAAATCATATTAGTAGCTTATCTTAACATGGACTAAAAAACTATGGAGAATTATTATAATTGTCATGCATTATCATTCTTCTTACTGAACTTCTTCAATAGTGTATACTCATAATATCAATGATGAAAACTGTCGTCTTTGTCTGATATATCAATCAAAAAAATAATTATATCCTTACTTCTGATTAATTTTAAGGTCATTCAAGAAGCAGTGATAGGTAGCAGCAACCAAATCTGAAATGAAGCGATCACTCATCGATAGCGTTGTTAGATGATTCATTTACACCATGAGATGTGACAAATCATGATGGAATAAGGACAACTTCATTTTGAATTAATTAACAACAATAGAAGGACTAGATAGTAATATATCTGCCGATACAAAAATGCAACTACTGAGAGGATATAAGTAGTATATTTTGGATAGAAAAACATTGTTTCCCAAGTTTATTCATCAAGAGGTAATTCAAGAATGGAAGAATTAATCCATCTTACATCATATATGTCAAGAGCAAAGGATGACTGTAAGTCGATGAATAGGTGTTCTGTTTTAATACGTAGTTTCAGGGAAAAAAACTAATCACTGAATATAACATGATATTTCATTTTGGGAAGTATCAAGCAAGATAAAAATTGGTTTTACATACAGTTTAGCTAATTTCTGCCATGTATATTATGAAAACGATTTGGAACTAAAAATGGAATATTCTGTATGTTTTCATTACCAAAAGTACTCAATGTACATTTATTGCAAAAAAATTAACGAAATATTCAACTTTGTTTCCATTACAAAGTATCCGACTACATAATCAAAGAGATAAAAAAAACCTGCTTCAATATGATCAGTATGAACGGGAGATGTATTGTGTAGCTACAGTTAATTCTAAATTGAACTCTTTCAAGATATACTATTTACTAATAAATCAATAGTATATATTTTATCTAATAATTTTTAAGGATCTCTGAAGTTGTGTTAACTGAATCATGACATTCATATTGCATAAAACACTTAATATTTGATAATTCCTTTGACTTTGATATTACAATAAATATTGAAAGATGTTTGTATACTGGTTCAGATGAACTAAATATGATTTGAATATTAGTAAACAATACTAGTTCAGCTCTACTTCATATTAACTTCGATAAGGATTATTAATATATGTATAGTTATTATTCAATTTCTTACTCTCATTGTTTGTACACGTCGTGCTTCAGGTGATGAATAATATTGTTCATATTCCTGTGGATATCTTCTATCCAAACTTCCAGGTGATACTATTCTTCTCTCTGATCTCATTGTATACGAATGATTTGGTTGATATTGAATTGATAATGGCTTTATTTTGATAGATTATTATATGTGATGTAATTCACAGTGATACAAGGAAACGAGTATATAAATACTAAGAATAACTAGATTTAATCATAGGCAACAATAATAACGATTATAATGATAAAATAATTTCAACATATAACATTATCAAGCTTGAACATTCAATAGAATTATCATTTACGCTACTAAACACAGTGGAATAGAAGGATAATATCACAAAAAGGAATAATTGATGGATTTTCTATTCTAACTATGAACATGAGTCAAAATGGCAAGCATAAAATTAAAATAGCATACTAATAGAAATATTTCGTTAGTAATGAAATTTAAAAGGCAAATAAACAAGCTAATAATGGTTAAATAAGTGAATTTGACAAGTAGTTAATTCAGTAGTATAAACCGTTCGTTAAAAAAAACATAATGTTAGGATTTTTAATAAAAATGATACGTTACAGCACATATACAAGTATTAAATGCATACGTTTCTTAACTATTCATAATGGATGAACGGAAATATCATGCTGTTTAAAATAAAATAAAAGCCTATGGATACATGCCAATTGATGTTAACCACTTCATTGATTTTGACATTGTGAAACATTTAGTTGAGATTAATCATTAGGTTGATATCCAGTCAGCTTTTGTAATGTTGCACAAAATCTTTCAGAGATGTATACTAAGGTTTATGGAATCTTTGGCTATACAGAAACTGAAATCCCCTTTATATGTTCAAAAACAATTTGATCATAATCTTAACTTACCCTGGTAATAATGATTTATTATCGAGAATGATTATCATATTGTTTTAAATTTACTTCATTTTTCGTTGTTACGGCTTACATTTAACCTGTCTACTTGACCTCTTTTCGATTGAAATCATGAGTCAATTGAAGCTAGACAACCATGGAAAACCTGGAAGCACTGGACAGCCGTTTCGTCCCAGTATGGGACTCCTCAGCAGTGCGCATCCACGACCTCGCACCCCGCGAGATTCGAACCCAGGACCTATCAGTCTTGCGCCAGGCGCTTAACTAGCTAGACCACTGAGCCGGCATCCAATGGTGCTAATGTTATTATTTTTTTATTATTTTATTATTATTCTGTTAAAGACAAATTGATTCCTTCATTTATGAAATCTTTATGATTTAAAACATCATCAGTTTTTTAAAAAAATAATTGTTAAGGGTGATCCAGAAAACTTCTTGTTAAAGACAAGAAAGGCTCATGGAACACTAAAAAGCATTTTATTCAATCAGTGTTCACTTGTACTTTAGTCAGAAACATCAAGAAAGTGAAAAGTCACATGTAGAGTTTCTGATTGGCTGATTACTATACTTCTACTATCTTTCATAGCATTTTAGAATTTTCTGGAAAACCCAACGACATTTAAAATACTATAAAAACCCTATATTTTCTGTATTAAAACGAATCTTTGGAGCAAAGTGCTTTTCGTATATTTTGCGCCTTTTCTTTAGAGTTCAAGTCTCTGTGTAGTTCTAGCTTGGGGTTTACAAGAATAGCTTAGGAACCGAATATAGCGTTCATTTACCAAGATTTATCCACAATGACTAGTTTTATGGAATATAGAACTATAAAAGATTTTTGTTGGGTATAACAAATTTTGTTTCAATTATATCGGAAGTATTTTCATTTCGTCAAGGTATTTTTTCTTAACAGTTGAATTCACAAGTTGATTTAAGCTGGATTACCGTTGAAAATCTGGGATCACTGGATGGTTGTTTCGTTCTAGTATGTGATTCCTCAACAGTGTGCACCCATGTGCCCGAACCTGAGACTAGAACTTAGGACCTTCGATCACTCAAATGAGCATGTGATCTCTAGACCACTGAGCCGGCCCAATAATAGCTTGCTTCAAGATGAATTTCCTCAAGTTCTAGTGAGAAACCATGTCGGGTATAAAACAATTACCCACCAAAGACAATGGATGAAATGTGCAAGATTATAGATTGATTGAAGTTAGACATTGATACCATTAGATGGCGTGTCAGTAGTCTAGTGATTAGGTGTTCGTGTGAGATCGGAGGTCCTGAGCCCAGGTCCCGCGCGCGGAATCGTGGATGCACATTGCTGAGACGTCCTTTACTAGGACGAAACGACCATCCAGTGCTCCCGAGTTTTCACTGGTGGTGTAACTTACATTGACTCATGAATTTAACTGTTAAAAATACTACCATCTCCACAAGTCCTTTTGTTAGTAATTTTCTTACTTAAAGAATTTTATTACTTAAGTACTTGCTAAGCACTTGGTAAATATTTGTTAGGGAAGTAGTTGATAAAATTCTGATGTTTATCCCTCTTGGACTGTAAGAAAGACATAGGGTTTAAATAAGTACCTTAGGTTAATCTTTATCGATTATTACTGTATGAAATGAATGCCAATGTGTAGATGTATTGAATCACACATTCAATCACATCAGTTTTGTAGAGTAAATGTTAAAATCTGTAGTCATTAAACTCTGTCCAAAAGATGATCTTTCTAGGCAAAAACTATTCAGTATACTTTATTAATGAAAAAGAAGAATGTTTAATTTGGAAATGAAAATATAGCGTTGCTGTATTGTCATTTCAGAGACCAAGTGTAAGAAAGAGATCGTATTAAGTAAACCATTTTACACATAGCATGTATACATGATAATAAACTTTCAATAACCGACAGTTGTACGAGATTATTGAGAGTTACATTTTCTGTCAGAGCATATTCGGACATTTAGAATTAGCATAACACATTACAGATCAAATGAAGAGTTTACACACTGCTAGATGCTACTAAGCAATATTTCATTATTCAAAAACCATTTCTGGTGTTTTTTTATGAATAACGTTGACTGTATACAGTTAAATTACTTTATCAATGTGTTACATTGTACATAAATGAAATATATTTCATACACATAGTTCACTTTATGATCTTACAAAGAGCAAGAACGAAGATTAGTACAGTTCGTATTGTTGTTAGGTGGTCTTCGGATAAAAGCTTAGACTGCGGTGTGGATGAAACGAGATATTGGTTTGTGATATTAACTAGTTTATATTTAAACCAGACTTTCTTTTCTTCACTTACGGGGTGCACTAATCTGCACCAATCTTCTTTCTTACTCTCTTTGAAATATATTTAGTTTATCTTTGCAAAGTATCATTGTCTACTGTAATGAAACGATAATTATAACGATGGTTATACTATATTTTCTATAAAAATTAATGGTTAAGTCGATTCAGGAAAGTAAAACAAATTAAAAGACTATCTACATTAAAGACTAAATTCGACTAGAAAACCATTGGTAACCAGGTAGCTCATGCCATAGTATATGGTTCCTCATCAGCGCAAACCCAAATTTATGAAAGAAATCAAATGTAGACCTGGTGAGACCATAATTTATGGATGACTTTTGAGCAACACTAAAATGACCTTGAAAATATCCATCTACTTACCAGGGTTAAATAAAGGTTATAAATTAGTGCGAGGGAATAGGATTAGGATTTACAGTTGAACGTTCGGGTTAGGAATTAAATATAATGTTTTCATCACGAACTGACATCAGCTATAATTCCAAATTGGTATTTAGCCAAAATCCGAGACCTGCTATCTTAAATCTGATTGGCTCGTCCGTAAATTATAGTCTCTCTATAGAACCTAAAGCAGTTGGATTATGTATTCAACCTTCAATATGACATCAATCAGTTCATGTTTCTTAGATGAGATATTATTCATTCATCGTCAATTACCTTACATCTTACACCCAGTATATCAGAAACTTACCATAAAAGAAAACTAAACCACTTCCAGGTATTTTTTGATTTTCAATGATGATTCTAGATGAAGTCAGTCTGTACTTTAACATATCTTTACGGTGTGAATATCATCCGTCATAAACCTTTGATATTAGTAAGAAAATCTGTCATTCCAACAATGTATATATATATTACAAGAGGTGGCTCTATTATTATGAAATTCATTCAAAAGTCATTGAAGTTATTTGAATGAACTTGAAGCAAATGAAACTATTCATAATTCAACACTGAATCTAAATAAACTTGGATAAATAAGACAAACTATCTACGTCTCAATATACTAATTAAACTTGTGTTAGTTAGTAATATAATGCTACAGAGCTCTATATCAATACCATATCATTGTTAGACTTATAATTCATCAGTAAGTAAATGAGAAGAAAAAAAGGCTGTTTCATAAAGAATCAATTTATGTCCTGAGTATTCTTTATTAGAGAAGTAAATAAGTATGCAAATATAAATGATGCATCAGAGTCATTCTAACTTCAAATGAAACATAAAGAAGGTAAGCAGTTATCATGGATTATTTGCATTTAAAACACAAAATTAAAAAAATAATGAAAAATATATGGGTTAGTTAATTAAAAATGGTACAACATATAGCCATATAATGGTGTTATGTTTAGTTATGAAGGAAGCAAACTCTTCTAGAAATTATCAGATGGGGGGGTTGTGGAGAATTTTACAGTTGAATTCATAAGTCAATTGAAGCTAGACCACCATGGAAAACCTAGAAGCACTGAACGGTCGTTTCGTCCTATCAAAAGACTTCTTAGTAGTGCGTATCCACGATCCCGCCTCGTGAGATTCGAACTCATGATCTATTAGTCTTGCGCTCGAACGCTTAACCTTTAAACCATTGAGTCGGCCGGCTTTCAACGGTGTTAATATCTAAATTCAACCAACCTACGAGATTGAGCCACCGCCTCTGTCTTCTAGAAATGTTTGATTGCTGACTCGATAGTATTGAAAATTTACGACTTGATAGTTGTATTACCATTTGTTTGTTTAATTTTTTATCTGTAAACAGTATATATTTGTTATTTGAATCGATATTGATTACTGTTACTATTAACAACCACATAGTTAGACAAAGAAGCAGTTAGTAGCGAAGCTCACAGTATTCCTCTGGATGATCATCTGTGGAAAGATTAACTTTTTTGTTCAATTTCTAAATCATGATTTATAGAGAATATGTATATTTATTTACTTAGGTCTTTGGTAATGCGTTAAACACTATTGACGATAATAAAGAAATTTCTTGAAGACAGTTGACAAACATGTCTTGAATATTCAGTTTAATGACAATATCAGCATCATTATCAACTTTTGCCAAGTATCAATGTTTAATTGGATACTGAAACTATCCCGAAGAAATAACAATGTAAAGTAACTTAATACTGAAAATATCAAGTACCTTATTATTTCTGCAATTCGGTAATGTGAATAAACATTGTTATAACTGGATTTAGGTATAGGTAAAAGTGAAAAACAAAACTAAATCACCCTTTTGTTACAACAAAAATGCATAGATTTAGGTGATTAAGTTGAGCCATCTTATAAATCAATCAAGCTATATAGGCATCAAGCAATGTATGATGTATTAGTTGAAGTGAAATTTAATACAGATCTATGTATGTACCCATTTATCTACTTGTTCGCGCTTTGTTAGTCTATGCGTGATCATTTTATTACCTTACCTCTGTGTTATAATATCCAACAGTATCGTTGAAATGTCCATGATCATAATCTGTAAATTTGTCACCGGGATTTATTGAATTCATTAAATCCAATCGGCGGATACCTATCTGATTTTTTCATCTAATTTATCTTGTCTTTGATGATGATCCATAGGGGATAGAAGTGGTGGATTAATTGGTCGTGTCGGTTTTTGCGACGACAACTGATGTTGGGTAGAAAGAAAATCTGATGTTAAATAAAGCTTCTTTTGTTCATGATAATTATTAGTTGGGTAACTTTGTGATCTAATCGATAGATTAGGTGTTGAGTGTTCACTTCTTGTTAAATAATGTTGTTGATAATTCATGTTTAATGGCTGAATAGTTGTATCGCGACTATTTAATTCGTCTTTCCAATAAGTTTCTCTGTTGGATACCACACTGTCGACTATAGCTGACGCTGCAAACTCCTTTGCCTAATATACGATAAGGACATTTATTTATTTATGTACATAGATTAATGTATAGTGTAGTATTAGAGTTTTAAAAGGGGATATGGGGACTTGCTTCCGGTGGAAGAGACAATATTATTGATTTACTATGATTTAAAATCGGTATTTCATTATTAGCTAATTCTGATTAGCAATAATTTGTCACTTGTTGCATAGGCTAATTTTTTAAAACACTTTAACTACTGAAATAAATTAAGTAGTTAAAGTTTGATGAAACATTTTACTGAGTGTAAATCATCATTTCTACTCTGAAGCACATACAGTTTAGTTATAGTTATTGCACTCATTTTAGACAGCTCCTTAAAACAGACTATTTAAATATTGAAGTCGTTTTCACAGTGAACTTAAGTAACATACAGAATCATTACAAAACTGTGGTACACTGAACGGCTGTTTACTCCTGTCTTGGGATACAAATCGACGGCGTTTATCCACGACTAGATATAATGGCAATTATGATGTCATTCGGTCACTCAGACGAAGTATAAAAGTTTATATTTTCATTTTTGATGAATTCTATGTGCAGATAAACAATCTTTCAATGCTATAGGGGATATCATTTTCTTTTTCCAGTAATTGGAGAATCTTCTTGAAGTTGGTCACTAAAATCATGGTTGCTGATAGACTTAAAGATCTTAGGTTGGATCCAAGTTGATATTACAAACTTTCACTGTAGAGGAGCCTCAGACTAGGATGAAACAGCTTTTCAGTGTATCCTTCAAGGCAATTAATTTACACAAACTACCATAGCATAATGTTTTCATTTTATGCATTCGAATATAGTCGTTACTTCTTTCGAGAAAAAATATTCAAACCATCATTTTAAATGTCTCATTTTATTTCATTGTTACGATTACGTTGTGATAGCTTCGTGGATCGTTTGATGAAAAAATAATTGCCTTATATAATATTTAATACTTCTACTAACTGAAACTCTTGATAAAGAGCATAAAAACGTTATTATTAGTGAGTGTAAACATCAAACAGGAAAATCACACAGAATTATAATAATCGTGACACAATACAAGTGATCAAAAGAAGGGAAACATGCAACATGGTGCATTCACTTCACATCATTGTTAGGGAACCCATTTTAATCTCAATATGCATTGTAAATTTATCTTGACAGATATTATGCACACATGCATACACAATAAATTTTGTGTGTTTAATGTGTATAGGTATGCATTTGAAAGGGGGATAAGAGAAGAAATAGAGTAAAGAAAAAAACTATTTTTTTTGAGGTGGTGGGGGAAGAGGTGAAACATTCTCAGAAAGATAATACTAACCTTTAATGCAGTTCGTAATTCTTGACTGTTTGCATAAACATGCTTATCATTTTCCTAAATAAATTGGAATATTTTTCTATTTGTCACACAGAAATTTTGTTTTAATTTGCTTAAATTTATCATTTTAAGATTAAACTAAATTTTCGGAACTAAATTAATAAAATTGATCAAATGTATAGTGAAGCAAATGGGACTGCATCTTCTGACGTTGCTCCGCCGCCTTGTGGATCAGACCTTTAGGTCGAAGGCTCAGGGTATGGCCCCCTAAGAAAACCATCTGTTTCGGTTTGGGTACACGGGTAGCATCACACCCCACACACAAATCAAGTGATTTGTGTGGCGCATATGTATTTGGTGTCCCTTTGTATCAATATTTATGTGTTCAAATAAATAAAAAATAATAATGACGACAATCATACTAAAAATTACTTACTAGTATAGGGGTTGTGGAGATTATTAAGTTTTTGATTGAGATCATGAACCGATTGATGTTAGACCACCACAATTGAAAACCTGGAAGCACTGGACGGCTGTTTCGTCCTATTGTGGGACTCCTCAGCAGTGGGCATCCGCGATCCCGCGAGCGGGATTCGAACCCAGGGCCTTCGGTCTCGCACGCGAACGCTTAACCAACTGGACCACTTAGCCGGCATCCAATGGTGATAGTTTCTAACATCAACCAATCCACGAAATTGCGCGACCAACTTCCGTTGTACTGAGGTAGATACCTGTCTCTACCCGACAAGGATTAGCTCCACTGGTCACGGCTTCTCACTAGAACTCCGAGAATTCCCTCACGAAGCTAGTCACTAGTGAGCACATGTTGATTACTAGTATAGGGGTTGTGGAGATTATTAAGTTTTTGATTGAGATCATGAACCGATCGATGTTAGACCATCACAATTGTTGTTAAATTATCATATGTATTGCCAACAATAGAATGTTAGAAACCATTATTGTTTAGACTGTATTAATCAAAGATTAGATTTCTAACAGTAATCCTCTATTGATTTCATTTTGAAGTAGAACTGAGATATGAAAGAAAACTGTTAAATCTAATAGGAAAAAACAAATCTTTCCTCTTTAAGTGGTGGTTATGTAATCGTATGATATTTAGGTATACAATGAAAAAGTGGAATTAGGACGGAGGAAAAGTAGAATCATAAGTAGAGACGACTCAGATATCTCTTCTGTACTTCAGTACTGATTGTAGATACTACCTTGTTGAGTTTAAGTTTTGTAATGATCCGACTGAATTGTATGCAGTGAACATTTGTTCTTTTAGGCTTCATCATAACAAGCAAACTGGTTAGAGAGAAATGTGACTATAAGCAGTAAATTTAGAGCCAGAGAGAGAAGTCATACTGCTGACAGTACAAAAGTGTGTCTATAATAGAGTGCTGCCCTCAGATGACTAACTTCTTCAGTAATGTTTTCTTACAATAATGAAAGAGGAGGGTTAGAAATAGCACTTATCACTTTGTACCATGAAGTTTCGTAGTATTCACTGAGGCTTTTAGAGTATGGGACTGACCAACATAAAACTACTCGTAAAAAGGCTGTATGTACCCAGTCTCAAGCACCTGTCTTTTAGGTACTGCAGTCAGGTTAGGTGATCGTCAAAACCACTACTAACAAGGTTGGTTTTACAGGTACCACGGAAAAAGTGTATGCAAATGAGAAGTAACAGTTCTCATATATCTAACTTCAACATTCTCTATTCCAGTTGAAATTTTGGACAACCATATGAATGACAGAAAATAGAAATAAATTTTATGCATATTTCCTCAGAAGTTTCCGATCAGAATAATTAATTTTTATACTCCTAATTTTCATCACTGAATAACATTCGAAATCTGTTTGATAGACGTTCACATATCAAACCGTGAAGAAACAATGCTGGTCAACTCCACTGTATTCTACCAGTTTCATTTTAACAATCTAATTACTGCAGAAGCAGTGATGCAGAGACTGAAAGCCCCGATTTTACTAGTGATCAAGCCAAAAATTTGAATTCATCTTGTGGACGATACACTCGTCATCATGAAAACAGACTAGCTGGAAAACACCTACAGTCTGATGAACAACATCTTTGATGACATCAAGTTCAAAATGGAACAGGAGCCAAACAAGAAGCTACCATTCTTATATGCAATAATTATCAGAACCGACATGGGAAAACTGGAGGCTCAAGTATATTGGAAGCCGACTAACACGGATCAAATTTTAAATTATAGTAGCGACAACCCAAGAGCTCACAAAATCAATTGCGTACAAACCTTTATCAAGAAGGTGAGGACACAGTGCAACACACTTGCACCGCGGAAAAGTGAAGAAAAATGTCTTAAGATTATCTTTCAAAAGAACGACTACCAGTCAACTTGATCAAAAAATACCAACCAAACGCAGCAGCAGGAACAAAATCAAGCACAGAAACCAACAAAGGGATCAACTTATCATATTACAAAAGACATATCAGAAATTACAACGAAATTGTTGAAGCCTTTTGGAATAGATATAGTATACAAACCAGTAAAATCACTCCGACAGGTTAAATGTCAACAATAACCAATCAATATTGAGGTTTAAAGGATAAGCTGTGAGCCATATGTGGAGAAATTCGAACACTTCACTTCTACCTAACATTTGTGCTGATGATGTCGTTCAGAATAACGATGAAAGCTCGATGACCAAACCATCATCAAGTTCACAGAACAAAACTCCATCAAAATCATCCACCTGAACTACAAATATTTTCTACCATCTCAATATTTAGTTTATGTAAGATATTTTGAAACTGTAAGCAACAATTAGTTAACCATCCAGTGCTTCCAGGTTTTCCATGGTGATCTGGCTTCAATTGACTCAATTTCTACAAATCTCCTTCTGATACTAGTTAATTGTGTACCTTCGATCGATTCAATCGATTTATTCCCACAGAAACATCGCTATTCTCAACATTTTCTATGTTGTATTCAGTTCATTTAAAAATGCTATATGTTATGGTACTTTCTATCTCAGCCAACCATAACCGTTCATTATGAACGTGGTAATATAATATAACATGATATAACCAAATGGAAAACATCCATAAATATACTGAATGTTTACATTTTAAAATGAAATCTCTAGCGAAAATTCAATATTATGATGTATCAAGCATCTATCAAATGAAATAACTATAAAAATGATCAAACTTTCAGAATACAACACATTCATCTATCACTGGAAATATTATGAATAAACTGATATGTATCTATTACAGTGAATATTAATCTTTCAAGATTTGAATATTACACTTTACGGGTAGAATATTTAAAGAATTCAGTAGTAATAACTTTCTCATATGGTTAGAAAAGTGAAAAAAAATAAGTCAATTGAAGCTAGATCATCATGGGAAATCTTGAAGCACTGGACGATCGTTTCGTCCTAGTATGATAATCCTCAGCAGTGAATATCCACGATCCTGCACCCTGTGAGATTTGAAATCAGGACATATCAGTCTCTTCTTTTGTAAATGTATTGACCGATTGACGTTTATGGTTAATATATTACTTTTAATAAGCTATACACTTATTAAAATAATACATACATAGTAAGTAAATAAGAGTATAATGTAATTTTATATTGTTCAAAATTATTTAACTTACATCCATTTCTTTTCTATCTATAGTTGGTGGTCTATTTGGTTTAATTGAATGATTCACATAAATAGGATTATTTGGATCAGATGACATTTTAGTTGGAATTGCTGGTGGTGCAATAATTTCAGTTGAATATATTATATCAATATCTTCTTCTGGTCTTTTAAGTTGTTGTAATGAATCAGTAATTGACTAGAAATAGTAAAATTTGAAGGAAATAAACAAATAAATGATTAATATCAAACGAGATTTTGTGGATATTATGGTAATTTTAATAGTTGAGATCGTGAGTTAACTGAAGCTAGAAAACCTTTGAAAACCTGAAAGCCCTAGACGGACGTTTCGTCCTATTGTAGGATTTCTCAAAAGGTATTCCCTGGAGTTCCAGTAAGGAGAAGGAAATAGTGGAGTTCAATCGGGTCTGTTGTGAGATAGTAACTCACTGAAGACAATGGTGAATGTGTCGCTCAATTTCATGGATTAGTTGGAGTTAGACTTTAACACAGTTGGATGCCGGCTGGTTCAATGGTCTAGAGATTAAGCGTTCGCGAGCGAGACCGATAGATCCTGGGTTCGAATCACGCAAGGCGGAATCGGGGTTACGCACTGCTCGGGAGTTCCTTGATAGGACGAAATGGCCGTGCAGTGCTTCCATGTTTTCCATGGTAGTCTAGCCTCACTTGACTCATGCTCTCAATTATTTAAAATAAATGATTATTTAATAAATGATCGAATCAAATTTATGGATAATTGAACATTTTTACGTTGTCTTCTTTTATTTTCCAGAAGCCTCTTGAGTTCATGCCTCACCGCTTTCTTTTGACATATATAAATTCATAAACTTAAAATCAATGAATATTGAACAAGTTGACGTTAGTCTGACATACAGGTATCAGGCAAATATTAGCCATAGTCTATCACGCTCACAGCCACTCTTGGCGTGATCTGGTATAATCGCTATTTTCTATTTTATAGTGTAATGTGATCTGTTTGGCTTGTATATAAACCAGGTATGTCTGAAATATATGATCTATATAGAGGAGACTGATATTGGTTTTCTGGAATGAACCGGCTGAGTTAGTTGAGAGGCTACTATCTCAGAGGACCAATAAGAACTCAACGTTGACTCTAGACTGATGGTACTGGTGCCAAGGTCATATAAGTCGGTGTTTTGATTGGTGATTTTATCACATGATAATTAACAGGATATCAGAACATAACAGAATGTTTATAATGACAATGGGGAATAATTTTTTTTGATATCATAGAATAAAAGTGATAGTATTAAACGTATCAGATGTTTGATTTATCTCCTGCAGATAACACAATAAAGAGCAGACCAACACCATATGTAGATACTAATACTAAATTACTAATTCGATGGCGCTATACTTAATGGACTAACCAATGAGATTTAAGATAGTGTCCCATAGGTTTTTGTGTTAAATTCATTTATTTATTCATTCATATGGCTACAACGCATTCATGCAGGATAGCTAATGTCAGACTATGATGAATACCTTAACTGTAATGTATTAACTTAAAGAAGAACAATATGGAAACTCCTAAAAAAATCTTTTAATGCTTATTTTAAGGTTGAGGGGGAAAGATGTTTCCTATTCTCGATGCATTGTCTTTCTTGGTCTTCATCTTTTCCACTTGCTTTCAGGATTCAATGTTAGGGTTTGCTTCGTGATGCAGTTTGATGATTTCCTTAATAAATATCCTATCCACATGCAGCTACTATCCCTAATTTCTTATTCAGCATCGTGATTTCTGAAGAATCACGGTTTCCTTCATGAGGCGTGATAACCCTTCTATATGAATATCCTTCAATTCCCAGGACAGGGTTTAAATGGTTCAGTTCGTTTTTTCTGGTAAAACTTAATTTATAAAGGTTTTTTTCTACGGGGTAGCGTTGCTGACTCCATGCTCAACCCTCCTCTTTTAACTCGGCTTGAGACCGCCATTAACACTTGGTCTACAGGCGAAGCTACACAAAAAAATTTAATAAACCTATAGAGGTAGAAAATCTGCAATAACCATCAAATAGATACTAATGTTACCAACATAAATGAAAAAGGTTTTTTCAAAGTACAAAGAAAGATGAGTAACCGAGGCGTTTCATACATAGCTAAATCTCTCTGTCTTCAGTGGAAGGAAGGTGTGAATATTTAAATAACTTATTGTTTTTTTCCAAATAGTCACATATTTGACTTTATCCATTTTCCACACAATCTATACACATATACACTTAAAATTTTAACTCCCCTGATTTATATTACAGAACATACATTTTCCATACTTAGTTATTACATATACAAACAAGCATAGTAATATCTCATACTGAATCACCTTCATTTAACATGATATTAACATCATGATTGTACTAAAACTATTCTACTCTGTTTCCCTTTCAATATTCTTTAAACGTGTGTTTATTTATTCTAGTAACTCGGAAAACATCAGAAATACTAATTACTATTCATTAGAATATCACAACAAATATAATTATGATCAATGGATTATCTATAAATACTTGTATCAATCATCATCAAAAAGTTGTAAGTATTTATAAATGATTATCTACACAAGATACTTAATGTTCATTGGTCGAATATCATCAGCAACATCCTACTGTTGAAGAGAATAAATCAACTTTCAACTGAAGAGGAAATTAAGAAAAGACATTAGAAGTGGATAGGACTGACATTGAGGAAATCATTAAACTATATCACAAACCAAACAAAAAAAAGAGGAAGATCAAAAAACACACACCACATTAAGAATTTGAAACAGACATAGAAAAAACGAATAGTAACTAGAAACAACTGGAAAGGATTACTTAGGACATGATTGAATGAAGATTACTGGTGAACAGCCTATACTTCTCCATGTGAATTAACAAGCGTAAATAATGTATATTGAATATAGAATAGTATAATGTAGATAGGTCCTGGGTTCAAATCTCGCGGGGTGAGGGATCGTGGATGCGCACTGCTGAGGAGTTACATACTAGGACGAAACGGCCGTCCAGTGCCTCCAGGTTTTCCGTGGTTGTCTAGCTTCAATTGATTCATGATTTCAATCAGTGAAATTTCTGAAATCTCCACAAAACCCCTTCTGATAATATAGATTAGTTTACTTTTAGTAATCAGTAACTAATTCACATGGCATATTTCTATTCTAACATCAAATATATGTGTGCTTAACATGAAATATACAATGAATAAATTGAATTTTATACATTAACATTTAAAACAAAGTGGGTTTTTTTAAATTCTCTTCATAGAAGTTTACGTTCATGTGTCATTGAGAAAAAAATGGATCATTTTTTTCTATTTTTCGTAACATGTGAACATGAAAATGTTTTATTACTTCGATTATGCAATGCATACAGTTAGTTACATTTACTGGATATTGTTTTACTTAAATCTTCCAGAAGAGATGAATAGTGACTAGCACTTTTCATCCTATTTAGAACTCGTCAGCTGGATGTACCTACATCTCAGGATTCATATCCACTCTAGAAATCGAATCTAGTACCGTTCACTTCAAACATTTTCGTGTTATTCCTTGTTAGGCACTATACATCTTTGCTTAGAATGCTTGTGAATTAAAGCAATATCGAGGCAATCCTTAGAGGATGTACATAAGCCAATAACAAACTTATGAATTTCAGTCCCAAAAACGTCAATGGGAAGATTCAAGTAAACAATACTAAATGAATTAAAACTTCACCCTATTGCACAAGAAAGTGGCTATCAGAACTCAGTAGCTAAATGGATAACGTGATGGCGTTTGAAGCGAACGGTACTATTCATTATCCATTTCTACTCATATGCCTAATTTATCAAATATTTGTTTTATTAATGAGCATGTTTAAATATTCAATGGTATTTTTGTTAATTACTCAATTGTTTGTAGGTCATGGCTGATTTATCAGAATAGAGTGTCACTTATTGAACCTGGATGCTTAGGATTTATAATTAGCGTTAGAGTTACGATAGACACCTTAGTTATCTATTACACCGACCTTTAAACGTTATCTCAATATGAAAGTGTCATAACATTATAGATCATTCCTCTATGTTTTTCGTCCTTTGATTGTCTGAAAGAGATCATGAATTTGTCATTCAAACTTATCGTTATTATTTAAGCCTACCAATTGTCGTTTTCTATTATTAAGGTATGTAAAGTGACAGGTTTGTGTCATCTACTTAATTCAAATTTAATGTTAGACAGGACACATATAATGTTCACAGAACATATAATCAATTGTAGTTAAGCTGACAGATAAAGAAGTCAGGAATGACAACTGTTAATCATAGAATGAACATAAATGTTGGGTGATATAAGACCGTTTGGTTAAATTATAGTATAGAGATGAAGCAGTCTGAGGTGAGGAAATGACCTTCATGTTTTAGTGAGAAATTCCAGAACGAATGAATTTTATCTTTCGTCACGTTAATTTAGGATTGAAAATGGCATTAAAAGTATCAAAGTACTCAACACTTTGTATTCAGATAATATATATGTAACACATGATTAAACACTGGTTCTAGATCCTTAGCCTAAACCCTTAATTCTAGCTTTAATCTAAAGTTACTACTGTTCATCCCGTAATTCTGTGCTCCTTATTCTCAACACAAATCTTTGACCTCAGCCAAGAAAAATTTGGGGACTCCTGAAAGTCGTTTTATTTTTAGATACAGTTTCGAGAAGACCGCTATTCTAGTTGGGCGTAAATTCACCATTTATAACCATACTCTCCATCACTTTTAAACAGTCTAGTCTGTAACGTCGATTTGCATACTATAAATAACACGAGAATAACTGTGAATTCAAGAAGCCTTAATTGAAAACAAAAATTGCAGTAATCAATACTAGAAAAAAATCTCGCGTTCGCATGCGAGACCGAAGGTCATGGGTCCGAATCCCGCAAGTGAGGTTATAGATGTGTACTGCTTCCAGGGTTTCAATAGTGATCTAACATCAATCGATTCATGATCTCAATCAAAAATTGAGTAATCTTCCCAACCTTACACTGATGATTACGTAATACTTTTTTCAGTGTAATATTACAAATCATTTAAAAAATCAATACTTGGTTTATGCCAAAGATACCAACATTATTGTAACTGTGTGGATTATTTCTCAGCTTTTTTTTCTATTTTAAGAAAAATAAAACA